AATCTTACAAGTTTATACAGAGGCCTTAATGGGGGTACAGTCAGATATATCATCTAGATGGTCTCAAAAGTGCATTACTTTCTCAAGGTTTGTCTTGAAGTGACTTGAAATGAGAAAAGTGGGCAGAATATACATTCCAGGGATAAAGGAAGAGATATGGAGCCTCCAATTGCCCCGGTCCAGCTCCCAGTTCAACCGGTGGTCACATCCTTTTGGTGACCTCTTGCAACAAGGAACATGGTTTGAATGCCCACACTCAGCCCTGGGACTGAGAAAGGAGTGCTGATTGAACTGTGGACCCAGGGAAATGTCCAATGTGGGTGGAGGACACTCTGGAGCTTCTGTGTCTTACAGGAGAGGGAGGAGCTGCTGGAACAGGGACCATGAGAGGAGCTGGAAGGAAAACAAGAATGACTGTGACATACTCAGAGAGACAAGAATCCACTCAGGGGCAGGCAATAGATTAAATTCTGGATTCCTCTTTAGGGAAAGCAAGAGGCAGGGAGACGTGCCTCCCCTTGGACCCAGTAACCCCATTTCTGGGAACTCAATCTAAGGAAAGAATTCAATTGAATCCAAAACTTATCAAATGGTGACAGGGATGAACTCTCACAGGGATGTGAGAAGGCACCAGGTATTGAGCTAAACGCTTTTGATATATTGATTTATTTCATCATCATAACAGCTTGGGAAGGAGCTGATATCACACCCATTCGATAAGAAAGCACAATCTGGGACTTCTCTGGTGGTGCAGTGGTTAAGAGTCTGCCTGCCAGTGCAGGGGACACAGGTTCGATCCCTGGTCCCAGAAGATCCCACATGCCATGGAGCAACTAAGCCTGTGTGCCACAACTACTGAAGCCCGTGTGCCACAACTACTGAAGCCCATGCGCCTAGAGCCCGTGCTCAGCAACAGAAGCCACGGCAATGAGAAGCCCTCCCCCAGTAAGGAAGAGTAGCCCCTACTGGACGCAACTAGAGAAAGCCTGTGCGCAGCAATGAAGACCCAACGCGTCCAAATAAATAAATAATTTTTTTAAAAAAAGACGAGCTAATTCTATATAACCATATATTTTTTTAAAAAGAAAAGAAAAGAAAAAAGAAAGCACAACCTCAGCAAGGTGAAGTAGCTGGTCCAGAGCCAAGATGGAATTTGAGGTCAAGTCTGATCCCTAAGCTGCACCTAAGACCCTCCAGGGCAATGCTTCTCACCCTCGGCACTGTTGAGACCCAGCATTCTCCTGTAGTGGTGGGGTCACCGTCCTATGTATTATATAGGATGCTGAGCATCAGCCCTGGTTCCCACTCACTAGATGCCAGCGCATTTCCTCCCCCAGTTGTGACAACCGAAACTGTCTCCAGCCATTGCCCAATGTCCCCTGGGGGCGGAATCGTTGCTGGGCCAGCGCCTTCCTATAAGCATGGCGATGTCCTCTGTCGCCCACACATGGCCATATATAACTGAAAACACCTCAATGTCCCAAAGTAAGGTGTTCTGTCAATGCAATGAAATACATGTGTAGTTTCATGAACAGAAATAAAGCAGTTAAGTGAAGGAAGGATTATGGATGAGCTTTTGGTCCTTTACGAAATGTGTTTCTTTAATGTCTTACATTATTCTCTTATAATTAACCACAAAAAGAAAAATCTCCTATGGGAATTCCCTGGCAGTCCAGTGGTTAGGACTCTGCACTTTCACTGCTGAGGGCCTGGGTTCCATCCCTGGTCTGGGAACTAATATCCCACAAGCCATGAGGCACAGCCAAAAAAAGAAAAAGAAAAGGAAAGAAAAATCTCCCTTGTGTGTGCTCCCTGCTCCTAAAATAGTGTCTCTGCCCTGCCCGCCCCAGAGAATGATGGTGGCCTCCTCTTAACTGAACCCCTTATGAGCCTGTGGTTTCTACTTGCCTACAAGGAATGTTCCAGTATGTTTTGGTGGAACTAAATTTGTCAAAAGTAACAAAGAGCCAAAGTTGGAACAATTTGAGTGACAAAATAATGTCAAGTGTAAAATCAATATCCATGAGTCCACAGATATAAATAAATGATTGAATAAATAAACAAATGAGGGAGAAGAGACAAATCTCCCAGGCAGAAGAATCCCAAACAATGTACACAAACGTTCTGCCCTCAAGGAGGTAGAGCACGACTCCCCATCCCTTAGGTGTGGGCTGTAAATAGTGACTTCCTTCCAAAGGGCACACCACCTCTGCCAGGTGATCAAGGTCGACATCACAGGGATAAGTCACACTGACGGCGCGTGCCCTGGACACATGTGTAATGAGAAAGGCACTTCCCCTCTGTGGTTCTTCTCTCCAAAGCCCAGTCCAACCATGAGAAAAACACCAGACAAATCCCAACTGAGGGCCCTCCTATGGAACACCTGACTCCAAACTGTCAAGTTCATCAAAACCAAGCAAATCTGAAAAACTGTCTCAGCCCAGACACATAAATGTCCCGTGAGGATCCTGGGGCAGAAAAGCGACATTAGCGACACACTGAGGAGATCTGAATAATGCATGGACTTCAGCTAATAATAATGTTATCAATCAGAATTTGTTCATTAGTTGTAACAAAGGTACCATACAGCTGTAAGAGGGTCAAAGTAGGGAAAATGGGGTGTGGGGTCTATGGAATGTTTTTGTACTCTCTTCGCTATATTTCTGCAAACCAAAATAAAATGATTCTTTAAAAACTAGCAAAGCTAAAATCAGCAGAATGGTGGCATAACTATTTCCGTTGGGAATTTTAGAGGGAAAACCCACAGACTTTCTGTTTGCAGCACTGGGATTAGAGTGAGGTGAATAAGGCACTTGCTTTGGTTGCAGAATGTAAGGGGGGGCACCCAAAAGTTCTATTATGATCACCCCCATTTTACAGCTATGGAAACTGGGGCTATGAGGAAATCTCTTGCCTAGGGTCCCATAGGGAGGCAGGGCTGCTCACACACTCTCTTGGCCTCTACCTGAAATCATGGTCCCAAGCTGACCCTAAAGTCTTAAGGCCAGCACAGCGGGGCTCCAATAAGTCAGCTTTGCCAAGGGTCGTGTCTTTGCACTTGGAGTCCTGGCCTGGAACGGAGGACCCTACTCATGGGATACACAAGCTCCCCCTGGGCCTCCCCAGCAAGATCATCACTGATCCCTTGTCAATTTGGCTGCTGAGTGGTTTTAATGGGGGTCTTCTAGGCAGAGAGATGTCCAACTGGGGACCTGGGCCCCTGGCCTTGGCCCCATGCACCATCTGACCCAGCTGACTGCAAACACGGCAAGTGGCTGACGCAACAGAATCTGGGCTGTGGTCAGGCTGCGGCTGAAGAAGCCACAGGAAAAGCACGCAGCTGCCTTCCAGAGGTCACAGCCGGCAACTGGAAGCCTGTAATCAAGCCGATTTCCAACAGGAAGCTCTGGCTCCCCAGGCCACATGGAGGGGAGATCAGTGTGGCCTGAGTTTCCTTGAAGCTCACTCCAGGGTCCAACCCCCTTTGGAGGCCTCTCCCCAGTTGACCCCCGGGCCCTCTGGGTTCAGCGTGTTCCAGATGGACATGATCATCTTTCCTCAAAATGGGCTCCTCCCTCCATGGCCGTGTTTCTGCATTACCCACCTCTCCTTCTGCCCTGAGCCACACAGCCGTCCACACATCCATTGAGTGCCTACTGGATGCCAAAGCATTTTACTCAAAACTCCTCACTGGCCCCTCCTGCTGAGGCTGCTCCTGTTATGGCCGCACTTTACAGATGAGGAAACTGAGGTTCTGTTAGCACAAGTCCGTGTGCCCTACGCACAGTGAGGTCAAACAAACCGAAACGTCAGAGTTTGGAGCAGAGAAAGGTTTATCTCAGGGCCATGCAAGGAGGCGGGAGGCTCGTGAACGCGGGGTTCAGAAAAACCCTGAACTCCCAGAAGGGTTTCAGCAAAACATTTTTAAAGGCCGGGTATGTGGGCGGCGGCGGTGCGGGGAGGTGTTGGTCACAGGGTCTGTGATCAGCTCGTGCACAATTCTCTGATTGGCTGATGGTGAGGTAACAGGGTGGTGTCACAGGGGTTAACATGGTCAATCCTTAGGCACCACTAGGCCTGGGGGCTACATGCTCATGGTCATCAAGTAGTTAACATCTTCCGTTTGGCGAGGGAGGCGTTTCACATCTGTAAAAACAACTCAGGAATGAAGGCCCCACAGGGTCCTGCTCGCTTACAGTTCAGAGGGTTTATGTGGAGTCCTGGGGTGGTAGGGGCAGACTGTGGAAGTAGGAGCCGGTTCCTGGCTGGAGCTAGAACAGGGACCTGGTTTGTTGGCTGGGGCAGCCTCTGGTGGCCAAATAGGGGGACTGCAGCCTTAGTCTCGTGGGTCCATCCAGATCGTCTCTCCGCTCCCACAGGCTATGGTCCCTCCTCTGACACTCTCCATGGCACCCTACGGTCCCCTTGGCGGGGGGGAGGGGCAGGGATGCTAAGTGAACCCCTGCTAGGTCACCAGGGAGACCCCTGAATTCAAAACCCAGCCTCTTCTGTCAGACCCAGACCCTGTCCCCAGTCCAGTAGTCACCTGTCAGCCTCAGTTTCCCCAGCTGGGGACTTGGGAACCAAAAATGCCCTCGGCCTCTTCAGGTCGTGGTACAGATGAACACAAAGGCGGCATGCACTAAACACTCAGTACCTGCAGTTGTCACCCTCAGAAACATAAAGGAGAAGGGCAGGGACTTGAGATGGGGTGTCGCAGGTGGCCCCAGCTCCCCTCCCACAGGATCTCACTGGCCAGCAACCAACCCAGAAAGTCCCGAGGCCATAATTAGGCAGAAACAACCCACCTCTTTTTCTGAGAAAGGGAAAAAGGAAACCGAAACAGAAAGCCTGGGCTCTGCTCTGCCTTTAGACGCCCCCATTCAAGTATCTCCAAGTCAGAGGATCCTCCTGGAACTTGTCATTGGTCAGCACAGCTCCTATGCTAATAAGGGGGTAGCCCCAGCCCAGAAGAGGTTCCAGCGCCTTCCCCTAACTCCCGTCCAGACTCCCTACGGACAGATCTGGAGCGCACCAACTTTTTATCACTACAGCCCCTGTGCCCATGGTTGACCACTTGAATGAGTCGGTGCTGCGTTGCTGCAAGCTGCCGCGGTGCCTGTGCTTCCTGCTGCTACTGGTGATTCTGATGGCTCTACTTGTAGCCTTGGTCATCTTCGCTGTCAGGGCCAACAGCAAGCACTGCACGGATGGCCTCCAAGCAGAGCAGGAGTGTCAGAAACGCACTCGGTACGTGCAGCACCAGCTAACCCAGGCCCAGGAAGTCTTACACAAGATGGAGATACAGGCCGCCACCTGCAACCAGACGGTGGTAAGCCACTGCACCCCCTAGAGAGGGCCCTGTACTTGCGGGGGGTTCTTACAGGGTCTGTGTGGAGATCAAGATAGACCTTAAAACTCCCCCCTGGATGTCCCCACCAGGGTTTGGAGACCTCTAAACTCTCTCCAGGGTGCTAGTGTGGGGTGGGGCCTTAAAACTCCCCACAGCACCCAAATCAGGGGCCTCAGTATCCCTGCTAGGATATGGGGGAATCTCCAGACTCCAGGGCACTGGTGTGTGGGAGCTAGAAACTCCCCTCGGGCCCCAGTCTTGGGGGAGCAGAAGTCCCCCCTAGGGGTTGGGATCAGGACCTCACCAGGTCCCAAAGAAAGAGGCTCTTGATACTTCCACTGCATCCGGAGAGACTCTGGAATTTTCATCTGTGTCCTGATATGGGGGAACCTTGAAACTCCCACTGGTCCTCTACTTGGACTCCGAAATCCCCCCTGTGTTCTGGTTTTGGGAGGACCTCTCAATCTTCTTGGGCAATAGCCCCGGGGGATCTGGAAACTTCTCCTAGAGTTTGGGCATGGGGAGCTTCCAAATTCTCTTGGGGAGGGCCTCAAAACTCCCATTTCTAGGATCACACCCTTATCGGTGGCCCTGGGAGGGTGGGAGTTATGGCCACTCTTCAAGGTGGGAGACTGAGGTGCAGGGGACGGTCGGAGTGGAAACTGAAGGGGGTTTGGACCCAAGCTCCTCTGATCCCAGGGCTTAAGGAGGGGTCCAGGGCCCAAGGACAGAAGTCCAGTTTCCCACACCCCACCCCCACCCCCGCGTCGCAGGTGACCCTGAGGGATTCTCTGAAGATGGAGCAGGCACAGGTGGCAGAGCTTCAGGGTGAGAAAAGCATAAGGCCAGCGTTCCACGGACGGGGCTCGGAGGGGTGGGCCAGTTATTGAAAAGGACTAAGGAGGGAGGGTCCCAGGGTTGGGGTCGGGAGGGAGGGATGGGGTCAGATTCCATTTGGAGTAGGGGAGGGGGGAGCACGCCAGGTTTCCCAGCGTGGGTTGAATGAGGGCGGGGCTAGAGGCGGGGACGTGTCCCGGGTTGGAGCCAGGTGAGTGGGCGTGGTCAGTGTGTTGACGCGCCCCTTGATTCTGTACCCGACCCCACCAGGAGAGGTCAAGATTTTGAAGCAGAAGCTGGAGGACACTTTGGCGGAGGTGCAGCGACTAAGGTCCGAGACGACCCCCCCACACCGGCCACTCCCCTTTCACCCCACCCCGAAGACTCGAGACCCCCTTGGCTTCGAAAAACCCCGTTGCTCAGGGGGCAAAGTTTAAGTCCCAGCCTTGTCCCTTGTGTCACACAGCCATGGGGTGGCCTCTGCCAGCTCTCCTCCCCAGTGACTTGGTGGGGGAGGAGTGGAGATTCTTAGGGGCGCAGCCTCCAGCTGCTGGAGCCGGCTTGGCAGCTGCCTGAGTTGTCCCGATCTCTACTCCAGAAGAGGGAGTGAGGCCTCAGCTGAGAACAACTCTTCTAGCTGCTCGAGCGTCCTGTTCGCTGTGGTCGTGGTCGTGGTCCTCGAGGCTCTGCTGATCTGAGGTCCCAGAAAGCCTGCCGGTAAGGAGGGGGCAGCCCCGGGGAAAAGAAAACTGGGAAAGGATGGGAGTCGGGGATGGGTCACGGTCTGGGGAGGTGGCCTACCTGCGGGGCAGAGGGCTGGGCACCGAGGAGAAGAATCTTGGAGAGGGAGGGAGAGCCCAGTGAGCAGGGAGGGGGTGGGGTGGGGCGGTCCTGGAGCGGGGCAGGGCTTGGGGGGGGCGGAGCCCGTGTTGTATCTGCCTCCGAGTCCCTGTTTTGATGTCTTTTAGGCCACAACCTGGACTGGTCCGGTTCCCTCTCTGCTTCCCCCTTTGAGGCTTCCTGACCTGGCCCGTTCTGAGGGGACCACATGGCAACACGGCTGTGGGGAGGAGAGGGGGGATGGGGTAGCCTAAGGGGTCCATGGGGCAGCTCTGGAGGGATACCTTGGGCATGGAGAAGTAGCGGAGTTGGCCCAAGGCTGCCCTAGAGCTGAGGAGGGCATGGGGGTGGAAGGTGGGGCACCTGCTTCTTGCTGACACGGTTTCTAGAAAGTCACTTTCTTCTGGGGTCTTTGGGCTCCGAAAAAGTAAACACCCCTCTAGGGGGGGAAAACTTTACTCTCAAGTTTTTGGAGTGTTACTGTGTCACCCCCAAGCATCTGGGGGCTGCCCTGCGGACCAGGGTGGACACCCATTGACATCCACATCCAGCTTTCCCTGCTCTAGAATGTTCTCAGGAATCCCTACGGTTCTGGCAGTCACCACCCCACTGCCTCCCCAGCCCTCTTGTCCATTTGGATCGTCTTAAAGAACTCTACACCCTCATCAGCTCGCTTGCAGTGTTCTGCTCTCATCTCCTCGCCGGGATCTTCTGATGGCAGCGGTCCCATGAGGAAACCGAGGCTGTGGTGAGGGACACTTTGCCCTGGTTCCCAATCCCTTCCCACAGAAAGTGCAGGGCTGGGATCAAACCTGGATCTGCAGACACACACAGGCCTGTGTCACAATACCCCCTCCTCCAGAGAGCCTCTCTGCTTCTCAAAATTGAAGGCCACTGGGAGTCCCCTGGTGGCCTAGTGGTTAGGATTTTGAGCTTTCACTGCCGTGGCCCGGGTTCAATCCTTGGTTGGGGACCTGAGATCCCGCAAGATGCGTGGCACGGCCAAAAGTAAAAATAAAAAAATTGGAATGTGCTCAAAATTGAAGCCCACCATCTGATAAACCCTTCAACCCACTTTCTTGGATCCTCCCATGGCCCATAATTCCTTCCTCCTCTGTTATCTTCCTTCCTCCAAGTTCCCCTGGAATTCTGACTATTGTCCGGGCAACTTCTTGTGCGTGGCTGGGGGTGGGGGCAGGTCCCTTGCATCTGCCCAGAATTCCCAGAATTCTGTACTGCCCTCACCATGGTCCCGAGCCCAGATGGTCGGGCCCCCCCTCCATGGCTCCCGCTGCCCTCCCAGGGACCCCCAAACCCCATCCCTGCCACAGGCCCCCCTGACGCTCCCCCGACCCCACCCCCCAGCCCCTAACTTCCTATTGCTCCACCCCCTGTGACCATTTCTCTGCATTTTGATTTGTCAAGTTCCTTCCTGCCTCATGGCCTCAGCTAGTCTCTACCTCCTGCTCGGAGCACCAGCTCCCCACTCTGAAGTTCTAGAACAGGGTTTCTCGGCCTCCAAACTCTTGACATTTGGACTGGACCATTCTCTGCTGTGGGGCCTGCCCTGGGCACTGTAGCACGTTGAGCAGCATCCCTGGCTTCCACCCACTAGAGGCCCATAGCACCTTACCCCGAGGTTGTGACAACAAAAAAATGCCCCTAGACATAACCAAGTTTCCCCTGGGGGGCAGAATCAATTCCGGTGAGAACCTCGGCTCTAGAAGGTGAGGCTTGGGTGCCCGTCAGTTCTGTGAGTGTCCCCAGCTCACAGGGGGGCTCAGCAGGCGTTCCCATGGAGTCCCTTTACAATGACTGAGTCATTTCACCACCACCCCCATCGGCAGCCCCGTCTAACAGATGAGGAAACTGAGGTCCAGAGGAGTGACTGGACTCGCTCAGGGTTTCTCAGCTGCTCAGGCAATGGAACCCTCTGCTTCCAGCAGGTTCTCTTGATTGCCGGGAAGCAGACCTTTCTCACATGACCTCAGTCCTTTCCCATCCCCACTCAACATCCTTCCCCCCAGCTCCCAGCTTGGGCTACTGGAAAGTTCCAAAACAGCTCCGCCTCCCACCCCCACCATACCTGGGCTGTGTTTCGCTGATGGAGGGGGCAGGTTTGCCCCAATATTATGGGTTTGACCTGCTCAATTTCTTCCCCTAAATTCCCACCCAATGGCTAGGGTATAAATGTCTCTCTTTCCTAAAAATGCCCCTCTCCCCTGGCTGGCTGTTGGGGGGATTCCAGCTTCAGCAGGAATCTGGCAGTGACCTGTGGCTGCTGTGTGTCCCTGGCCTGAGACTTAGCCTCTCTGGGCTTTGGTTTCTTAATGTGGAATTGGGGGCGGGGGGCGGGAGGCTGGGCAGGTCAGGGAGGGACACAGATTCTAGTTCATAGTGTTCACTCAGCTCACATTTCTGCACAACTACTGTGTGCCAGGCCCACGCGGCGGCAGTGTGAACAGGGCAGGTGCAGGCTTTGCTTCTTAGGGGCTCACCCAGTCTGATGGGGGAGGCAGCCAGGAATCACACACAGGTAAAATGACGGCAGAGCTGAGAGAGCTGATCAAAAGGGGCCTGAGGGCTTCCCTGGGGGCGCAGTGGTTGAGAGTCCGCCTGCCGATGCAGGGGACACGGGTTCGTGCCCCGGTCGGGGAAGATCCCATATGCCGCGGAGCAACTAAGCCCGTGAGCCATGGCCGCTGAGCCTGCGCGTCCGGAGCCTGTGCTCCGCAACGGGAGAGGCCACAACAGTGAGAGGCCCGCGTACCGCAAAAAAAAAAAAGGGGGGGCCTGAGTTAGTGGGGAAGGGGGAGGGTTCTGGAGGAGGAGACACACTGGTGGACAGGGGAGAGCTGGTAGGAACTGTTAACTGGGCAAAGAGGGAGGAGAGGGCTCTCAGGCAGCCCTGGGGTAGGAATGCGCTGGACTGAAGAGCGCTGAGGAGGGCAGGAGGCAGCTAAGAGCAGGAAGTGACATCAAAGACCTGCTAGGGGTCTTGCTGGGGAGGAAGAGGAGGGGGGGGGATTAGAAAGGGGGGAGGGGTAAGACGGGGAGATAGAGGGGGAAGAGAAAAAGAGGGGGAGTAGGGTGGAGGAAGAGGAGGAAAGGGAGGTGGAAATGGAGGCGGGCCAAGAGGAAATAAGGGGAAAGAGGGCGGAGGGGGAGAAAGAGGATTTGACTCAGAGGGAAGTCTGGGGAACGGTGTGAACGCGCCTGGATCTGATTCACGTTGTAAGGTCTCCCCCTGGTGGCCTAGTGGAGAATGGGCAGGGAGATGGGACGGATCCACCCTTGCGTCTACCCTCTGGTCCTCACAGCCAGCCACAAAAAGTGTGGCAGCCTGAGCCAGGCCAACCTCAATTGCTCGAGTAGCCTCCCGTCTTCTAGGCTTGGTCATTCCATGAACAGAATGGGGACAATATACCCCCAGACCCTCGCCAAGCGCCCCCTGTGCAAATGGGTGCTTTGCGCAGATGTGCTCAAGTGATTCCCACAAAGCCCTACGGGGCAGGAGCTACTGTCATCTCCGCTTCACAGAGGGGGAAACTGAGGCTCAGAGGGTCACGTGGGATGCAGATGCCAGACTGGAATCCAGGACCCCCCAGTCCTGTCCTGGGCTCCACTAGCCTGGGCTGGCCCCTGGCGTGGGTCCAGCCCCTCCCAACAAACTCGAAGCCACCGCCAGGCAGGGCGGAACCGTGGGTGTCCCTGGCGCCCCAAGGTGCCAATTAAATGCTCGTGGCCGTCTGGGGCCAGAGCTGTGGACGGCGGCATGGCCGAGCCGGGGCCGGAGCCGGGGCGCGCCTGGCGAGTGTTCGCCCTGTGCGGGGCCGCGGTGTTCCTGGCAGCGGTGGCGGCTGGAGCAGCCCTGCTGGCCTGGAATCTGGCCGCCTCGGCCTCCCGGAGGCCTCGCTGCCCAGAGCCAGGGGCCAACACCACGGCGCCGCCTGGAGACCTGGAGCCCGAGGTCGAGGAACTTCGGCGCCGGCTGGCAGAGGCTGCCCAGCGCGAGGAGGCCCTGACCAGGCAGTTGAACCAGGCCGAGGGTGTCCGACAGGAGCTGGAGGAGGCCCTAAGGGTCTGTGAGGGCCGCCAGGTAGGTGGGCAGGGTGGGGGGCTGTGGAATCCAGAATATGGGGGGGAGAGGGTGCACACACATCCCTGGGGCTCCCCCCCCCCACCCTGTGCCTTGGTTTCCGCCATTCTTCAATTGAGGGAGGCAAATAAGAATACACACGTAATTCCTTCCAACTCCTACAATGCCAGTTCAGCCTTGAGTTTACCTTCTGACCAAGAAGGTGTCACTGTCCTCTATTTGCCAAATCACTGGTGGAGGCTAGGGAAGCCTCAGACCCCTAAGCCCACCTGGGGAGGCCCTGTGCTAACCCTCCCCCTAGGTACCCACTCAACATCCCACCTCCCAGCCAGTGTACAGCAGCCCTATTTTGAGAGAGGGACATTCATGGCACCTGTAATTAGGAGGCTAAAGTTGGCCTCTTGGGGGAGGTACCAGCCAGGTCCTCCCTTTTCCTCCTGCCACCCCCTTCAAACTCTTCCTTAACCCTTCCCAGCCCTGGACCTCGCAGAAGAATCATCCTCAGAGTCCCAACCATTCACATTTATTGAGTAACTACTGTGTACCCCTGTGTCCCAGGCGCAGCAGAGGTTGGGCAGTGTATGAATTTTTGAAAATTCATGCCTTTTGAAAATTCATCCCTACGCCTTTCCTGACTGCCTAAGGGAAAGGCCTGGGGTAGCCGAGGTTAAGAGCAGCCTGCACTGGGTTCAAATTCTGTCTCTGCCTCTCGATGGAGGATTCTCCAAGGAAGCCAGGCCAGTAGTTTTGCAGAATGTCTTGTTGCCAAAATCTCGGCCTCTGTACCCTGGTACCAAATAGAAATACGGAGACAGAGTTTTGGAGGAAATAGAGAGTAGCTTTATTTCTTTGCCAGGCAAAGAGGGAACACAGCAGGCTAGCACCTCAAAAAAACTGTGCCCCCCTCTCTGGGGGAATAGGGAGAAGTCTTATAGTCAGGGCTTGTAGTCTGGGGTAGGTGATAAGGATCAAGGCAGTGATGGACTTGCATTCTTCTTTCTTCTGGGAAATTTCAAAACGGCCACAGCAGACATCAGGCAGCTCCGTAACTGGGTCTGGTCATCTCCAAGATTATCGCTGGTGACCTCCTCTCTGAAATGAAGAAAGCTACAAGGGAGTGTTACAAGGGAGTGTGGGAGAAAAGAATGCCAGGTGCAGGATATAATTCACATAGTCAGAAAGTGATTAAGGAATCAGCTTTGTGTAGGACAATTCTAGTTGCATGCACTACAGATTAGTAACAGTTAAAGTGAAACTAGGATTGCTTAACTTTTATAGACCTGCTTTTGCTGTTTCTATAGCCATTCACTCATTCCTTTGTTTTCCCGGCTTGTTAGTAGGAAAGAAAAACCCCATTTTCCACTTCTACTGTAACAGTCTCACAGAGGTGACTAAGTATACCCTTGAAACCCAATTGTCAACCACCAAATTGGCTTGTGCTGGTCTGAAACCCCAGTCCGCGAGTCTAGATACAGCTAGGATTGGAACCAGATCCTGTCGGCAGAGCTAAACCCTTTCTACATCTAGTTGGCCTGGAGTAGGGGCCGGATGACCTGGACAGAGAACTTCTTCCAGGCAGGCACCTGTCACCACTCGGTACCCCAGACTTCAGAGGCCACTTCTGTGTTTTACAACTACAGGACCCCCAAAGGTCCAAATAAAGCTCAAGGAACACCAATGTAGTCTCAGTCTCCCCTAGAAAGGGCGGGGTCAATTCACTCCTTCTCCCCTCCCCCCTCCCCCCCTCACTTCCCCTCCACTCCGCAGAGTCGGCTTCAGACCCAACTGATGACACTGAAGACTGCGATGGACGAGGCCAAGGCTCAGGGGACCCAGATGGGGGCAGAGAACGGGGCGCTGACAGGTGTGTTGGGGTGCAAAGTGGTGGGCAGGGCTAGAGGTGGGAGGAGCCTAGAAGGTTCCCAGCTACGTACAGGTGCAAACGTAAAGCAGACGAACGCGAAAACTTGTGAAAGAAATGCGCATAATATGCAAAGGTTATGCGAATGTCAGAGAACAATGCAAATACAACGAAATATGCACACGCCGTGTAGAGACTCCCAAAAGTAATGTAAACCTATGAAAAGCTATGCAAATGACACGTAAAGGTCAGGCAAACAGCACACAAACTTAATTCAAATAAAACAAACCACGCAAATAGTAGGCAGACTATGAATTCGTAGCTGGTGTGCGAGGGGTAGGAGCCTGGTCTCCAGCCTGATCCTGCCCCCTGCGCCCGCAGAAGCCCTGGCGCGCTGGGAGGCGGCGGCCACGGAGTCTGCGCAGCGGCTGGACGCGGTGCAGCGGCGCGCGAGCGCGGCGGAGGCCGAGAGTGAAGCCTGCGCAGCCCGGGAGGCGGCGCTGCGCGAGCACGTGTGAGTAAGGAGTGGGCGGGAAGGGTCCGGGGGAGGGCGAGCCCAAGCCCCTGCCCATGTGGGCGGGGCCTTGTGGAGAGTCAAGGCCCTCCTGAAGGTCAGGCGTTAGAACGTGGGGGGCGAACCTGGGGGGCGGGGGAGGCGCTCTTCGGGGACGGGAATCCCCCACGTTAGCGCTGGCACTCTGGAGGCATGGGTCCCTGGGGTCGGGCGCATACTGGGGGCTCAGGGGAGGGCGGGGAGTGCAAGTGGAGGATGCAAGAAAAATCGAGTACCGAGTGAGGGGCCGGGGGCCTGGAGGCGGAGCTTCTGGGGAAAAGGCTGGGAGTCCATGGGGAGGGGTCCTGGAAATGGCCAGGGGTGGAGAAGGGATGAGGGATCCTGGAGCATGGGATCTCTGGGGAGGGGGCGTTCCCAGGAAAGGCGGAAGAGTGCTGGAGGGTCTCTGGGGAAGGGGGGTCCAGGTGCTGACGGGACCCTCCGTCCTTCCCGGCAGTTACGCCCTGGAAGCCCAGACGGGCCCCCAGCGCAGAGTGCCACACCCCCGGACCCGCTCCGGGTCCCGACCTCGGCCCAACCCCCGCTCGCGCTCTCGCCCGGGAACCTCCGGGGGTTGCAGGCGACCAGCGCGGCGCGCAAGGGGATGAGTCAGACCCCAGCTGGATCAGGGCTCGAGGCCAGGAGGACAGACACTGGGGGCCCTGCTGGGACACTTACAGAGGTACCCACGCTAGATGAGATGCTCAGTCGACACCCATCAACGCTCAGCTTTCGACCGACAGCCGTCCTGAACGGAAACTGTGCAGAAAGAAGACCCGACCCTCTCTCTTTGACCATCTCGTGCTTATTTTGCAGATGGGGAAATTAAGGTCCATTTGGTCACAAGGTGAGATAGTGCAGAGCTGGGACTTAAGTCCCCTCTAAGGACAAGGACAATGTTGCCCTCATCGCACAGACGTGAGGACTTAGGGTCCAGCCCTGACCTGGGAGTGACCTGAAGGGGTTACTTCTCCTCTCTGGTCCTCAGTTTACCTTGCCTGTAAAATGAGTAATTGGAATGGTGAGAGCCAGCATATCCTTGACACCAAAAGCTGACAAAAGTGGCACAATAGGAAAACTACAGACCCCTCTCCCTATGAAGAGGGCACAAAACTCCCAAATGGAATTTTAGCAGAGAACCAAGTAACACGTTTTTAAGATACACCATAACAAAGTGACTTATGCCTGAGGTGCAGAGATGGTTCAATATTTGGAAGTCTGGTAATAAAATTCGCCATACTAAATGGATCAAATGAGAAAAATTCTGGAAAGGTCATCAAAATAGCAACAATTGCATGTAGGTGAGATTATACGGTATTTGTCTTAGCCTGACTTATTTCAGTTAACATAATACCCTCTAGATCCATCCATGTCGTTGAAATGGCAAGATTTCTTTTTTATGAGACTATTATGAGTAATATTCCATTGTGTGTGTGTATATATATATATATATAACATCTTCTTTATCCATTCATCTATCGATGGACACTTAGATTCTAATTTCCAGACCGTAATCAGATTTTTCCAACTGTTCTGATAATGTCCTTTGTAACAAAAGAGTATCCTGGCTTACACATTGTATTAATCTGGAACATTCCTCAATCTGTCTTTGCCTTTCATGACACTGGCTTTTTCTTTTTTCTTTTTTTTTTTGACACTGGCAGTTTTTAAAAAGCCCAAGCGAGTCATTTCGTGGTGTCTGAGTTTGGGTTTTTGTGATGTTTCCTCATGATTAATTGGCATTTTTGGCAGGAATGCCTCAGAAACAGTCAACCCAATAATATTATCTGTTGTTGGTATGACTATATATAGAAAACCCAAGAGAATTAATGGAAACTTTCCTATATCTAAACAACTAGGTAGAAAATCCTTTCAAAGAAAAGAAAGATCCCTTTCAGATAATTTTTTATATCCAGGAATAAACTACGTTCCTTATTATGTAAGGATCTATTCTACATTAATTTTTCAAAAAATAACTCAGTAGAAAATGGGCAAAGTACATGGGCAGCCTGGTCATCGAAATATACAAAAAAGGGGCCCAATTTCACTGCTAGAGAAGAAATGCAAACTGAAAAAAATGTGATACCGTTTTCTACCCTTTAGTTTGTCAAAGACAAAAAAACAAATTAAAAGTTTGTGAATACATTGTGTTGGCACTGCTGTTGGGACTGCTCATTGGTACAACCACTTGGGAGGGCAGTTTTCCAGAATCTCTCAAAATTAAAAGTGTACATGTTGTTTGACCCATCAACTCCTCTTCAGGCAATTTTTCTGCAACCATATTATTATTATTATTTTTTTTTTTGCGGTACGCGGGCCTTCCACTGTCGTGGCCTCTCCCGTTGTGGAGCACAGGCTCCAGACACGCAGGCCCAGCGGCCATGGCTCACGTGCCCAGCCGCTCCGTGGCATGTGGGACCCTCCCGGACCGGGGCACGAACCCGCGTGCCCTGCATCGGCAGGCGGACCCTCAACCGCTGTGCCACCAGGGAAGCCCAACCATATTATTTTAATTAAAAAAAATTTTTAATCTACAACCATATTTAAATGTATACAAAATGATGGACTGAATGCAGTGGAGAATCCTGTGTTGGATCCTGGAACAGAAAAACACTTGGTGAGGAAATCAAATAAAGTCTAGAGTTTAGTTAATAGTAATATACGAAGATTAATTTCTTAGTTTTGACAAAGAAATTGGAAGAAGCTGCATGAGGGCTATTCAGAGACTCTCTGTATTATCTCTGCAAAGTTTCTGTAAATCTAAACGTATTCCAAAATTAAAAGTTTACTTTTAAAAAGATGAGGGTGGGGGAGAGGAGGAATGAAGACATTATTTTTACCACATTCTTGGTAATTGCAAAAAATTGGAAACAACCTCAGTGTCCATCAGTTGGGGACTGTTTAAATGAGTGTCCGTCCATCCACACCATGGACTGCTATACAACTGGTTTGTGTGGGTTTTTTTATTTTTTGTTTTTGGCCAAGCTGCCCGGCTTGCAGATCTTAGTTGCCTGACCAGGGATTGTACCTGCGCCCTCAGCAGTGAAAGTACAGAGTCCTAACCACTGGACAACCAGGGAATTCCCACTATAAAACTGTTAAAAAGGCCAAAGCTGATATTCTCTGAGACGCATTAATGTAAAAAGCAGGAGAGCAGGGCTTCCCTGGTGGCGCAGTGGTTGGGGGTCCGCCTGCCGATGCGGGGGACGCGGGTTCGTGCCCCGGTCCGGGAAGATCCCACATGCCGCGGAGCGGCTGGGCCCGTGAGCCATGGCCGCTGAGCCTGCGCGTCTGGAGCCTGTGCTCTGCGTCGGGAGGGGCTACAACAGTGAGAGGCCCGCGTGCCGCAAAAAAACCCCAAACAAACAGGAGAGCAATAATTTGTGTACGTCTTTTAAAATTCGGGGCTGGGGGAAACTTTTATCCAAATATCTCTGAAGGAAACACTGGTCACAGCTGTGGCCTCTGGAAAAGGAATCAGGGATCTGTGGATCGGCGGGGGAAGCAGTCTCATGTTCCTCTGTATACCTTTTTGTAAAGTTTGCATTTTAAAAATCATGTGCATGTATTACCCTTAAAATAATTAAAATTTGTTTTGAAAAATTTCTGAAGAGGCTGCTGTAAGGAGGGGAACAGCACACCTGAAACTCTGATCCCCCCTCAGCCAGTCCTGCTTATTATCCCCCCACCCACCTTGGAGGTGGCTTGGTGGTGCCTGGTCAGGGCCTTTACTGGGAGAGGACCAACTTGGGGTGGGGGAAGGAATTGGAGGGCCCCCCCCGCCCCCCGCAAAGGAGGAGGTGAGGCTGAGGGGAGAGATGAGAGTCTAACTGCTTTGTTCCGTTGCTGGCCACCAGGGGTCACCCCAGTCTGCAGACCTGGTTGCTGCTGGCTGAGGGCCCAGAACTTGAGAGGCAGGGAAGATGGGTCTGAGACACCCCCCTCCCCCTGCAACTCTGGCGTAAATCCAGAAGTGAGCAGGAAACAGCTTCTCCTTCTGGAGTCAGCTAGGGCTTGAGACTGGCCCTGCCTTGTCTGGGGCCCCAGGGACTGCAGACCCTCACTGTGGGGTCCAGGGCTGATGCACACAAAGGGCTGGGCTCAGGGCTGTAAATGGGACCTAAAATATTATCATTACTATTCACTTATTCTGCTAGCTTCACCTTGGCCATACCTGCCAGATCCCTGAAAATCAGCTCCGGGGAAATGTGGAGCCATGGGAGGTGTGTGAGCAGGAAGGGTACTGTCAGATCTGGTTCCCCCGCCAGAACGGAGAATCCCCCAGCTGCCTTGCCTTCCAGACCCCACCTGCCTCCCTCCCCACAGGGCCAGCCCCCAGCCTGCCCTTGCTCTGTTGTGCCTCCCTGTCTCCACCTGTCCAGTTACCACTCAAAGTCTCTGTCTGTCTCTCTGTCTCCAAGTCTTTACCTCTGTGTCTCCACCTTGTCCCCAGCACACTCTCCCAGGTCCCTGCCCTGGCCTCCCCTATTCATGGTCACCCTGGGGTCCCTCCGTGGCTACAGAAACAGGAGTGTATGGGAGGGGGGGTGGAAAGGGGAAGCCTGGCACAAGCTGGGTGGAGGGCACTGGGGACAGCAGCAGCCTGACCTTGTTGGCGCCCAGTCCCAGGTAAGAAAATGGGTCACCTTTTTTCAGGAAGGAACACAGATGCCCAGAGAGGACAGGCTCTTCCCCCACCCCCCACAAAGGGCTCTCCTTGCCTCCTCTGTCAACTCCAAAAGCCCAAAACTTAATTTCCTTTGCATTTAACCAAAACCCAAACACGTTGGCATAAAAGTGGAGGGTTTTCTGAACTTTGCTGAAATTTTTCTTCGCCAGAAATATCGCTTCCTCCAGAACCTTCCTGAAGTTCTGTGAGAGTTTTTAAAAACCTCATGTCTCCTTGAGAACTTCAGTGTCGGTCTTCAGAGTGACACAGAGCTGACTTCCTCAGGACAGTCTTCCCGTCTCTGCCCAAACAATCAAATGAAACCAAATGGATTGTTTTTAATTTAGAAAAAAATAATTAAAATCGAAGCCCCTCCAAAGGAATTCAGAGAGATTCATGCACAAAATTTCCTGTGACTATGACAAATGGTTTTCAGGGAAAAACCAAATGCTCACATCATTCGATGCATTTGACCTCATGTGAATTCGAAGACCAGTTGCTCACCTCCTCCCTCTGGAATTTTCTGGCCAGGAATTCAGGCAGAACGTGTTCAGAGGGTCTGTTTTTAGAAATTTTAGACTCTGCTGGCAGGAGTGTCAATGGAAACAACCTCTTTGGAGGACAAATTGATGACAGCTGTCAAAATGTAAAATGGGTCTTCCCTGGTGGCGCAGTGGTTGAGAGTCCGCCTGTCGATGCAGGGGACGCGGGTTCGTGCCCTGGTCCGGGAGGATCCCACATGCCGCGGGGCGGCTGGGCCCCTGAGCCATAGCCGCTGAGCCTGCGCGTCCGCAGCCTGTGCTCCGCAACGGGAGAGGCCACGGCGGTGAGAGGCCCGCGTACCACAAAAAAAAAAAAGTAAAATGTTATTGCTTTAGGACCCAGCAATTTCACTTGTGGAGATTTGATATCGTCTTATTTTGTTCACTGAAACAAAAAATTTAGAAACAGTCTAAGTGCCCATTGGTAATTATTATGGTAATGTATGTGCTGAAAACCTAAACAGCAGTCAAAAGGAATCAACAATCTCAAAGTCATAATGTTGAGCAAAAAGAGGAAGTTTCATCATTACCTTTTCCATTAAAAAAAAAATCTAGCTTTTAAAACAAATTATTGGAAAAAGAAACATTACAAATCAAAGTTGTGAGATCAAATTGCCAAAAAGAATGTTATTTCTGAGCTTGATACAAAAGACATTAGTGTGTATATTGAAAACTCTTGTTCTTACACTGTGACAGTTGCTCAAAATTGTAGCACGTCAGGTCTAGAGTGGCTTTTTGGTTTTCTAGGAGTTTATGGTTGCCTTTCTTTTCTCTTGACAACAGATATCATGTTCATACGTACATATATGCAACATCTTCAGTATACAGTGAAAGACAGCCAAGATCTTAAGCTCATACCAAGACTGTCACACCTCCTGGCATTGGCCTAAGCACTGCCCCCTTGCCTGAGCTCTCAACTGGACCCTTGTCACCCAGGCTCTACCCCTGTCATGCCCCCTTTCCCCTGGTGATCCCACAGGCCCAGGGCAACAGCAGCTGGGACAGTGTCCCTCCCCTGTGTCTCAGTTCCCCAGCCTCACGTCAGAGGCTGTGCATGATCCAACCCCACCTTAAAAAACTACCACCATTTATTAAGGTTAACTGTGTGCCAGGCACTGTGACAAGTGTTTCACAACCGGCTTTGTTGCCTCCACTTTAGACAGGAGAAAACTGAGGCTCAAGGAGGAGAAGTCACTTGTCCCAGGTCTCACAGCGGTAGGTGGCCCAGCCAGAACTTAACTCCAGAGGCCTGCATTGAAACCATGTATTCACTCTGCCTACATGACTCCCCATTAATGCAGATGGGAGATGTCCTCCTCCCACCCTGCTCCAGGGGACTCTGGGTGGGCCTGACCAACCCAGAGAAATAGCTGGTTGGGCACCACTTGCAGCCCCCAACCCTCCTCCCTCCCAGTAGTGGCTGGGAAGGGTCCGGAATCAGGAATCAATGGGTAGCTGCAAAGGCCAAAGGTCAGACAGGGGTTTCCTGCCCATCCCTGGGAACTTCCTCCATCCCGACCCAACTCCCACCTCCTTGATGAACACCACCCTGGAGGACCCCTCCCCGCTCAACTACCCCCCACTCCACTACCCTGGCTAATAGGGGGATGGGTCCCCATGCCACCGCCTTCAGCCTGCTGTGCCCCCCACAGGCAGTGGACAGCAACTGTGTTATCGTCACCCACCCATGGTCCAGCCTCCTTTCCATCCCCTTGCCCCGTTCCCCTCGGATCCTGTCAGCCTTGACCCCATGGGGCTAGGGGCTGTGTCCCACTCTGTCTCCCCAAGACTGAGGACCCCTCACCGCCAGGCCTGGGGCTCTTGGTGGGGCCTCTGGCATCACCCAGCATAGGGGTTTTCCCTGGAGCTCCTGGATCTGGGGGGACATGTAGGAGGGCATACCCAGAATCCTTTGCTCCTTGGTCCCGAAACCCCTTCCTTGCCCACCTGGGGGTGACCCACAGTGAAGCTTGACCCCCTCTATCTGGCGCTTCCCCTTCACCATCTCACAGAGCCCCAAGATGAGGTTTCCAGCAGGAAATGGTAGTAATAATAGCAACGGCAAATCATTTCTCCCAGCCCCCTCCCCGGCCCTGGGACCTGGTACTGTGCCCACCTCATCTCACAGAGGGGAAAACTGAGACAGGTTCACTGCTGCCTGTGTTTACTAAGCGCCTACATGAGCCGGGCATTGGGTGGGATGACAGCTAGGGGAACCCGCGCCACCACCATCCACCCATCAGCCCTCTGTGAGGCCTTCCTGTGCCAATTACTGAGCACCTACTGTGTGCCTGGCCCTCAGCTAGGCGCTCCGCACAATTTAGCTCCTGTAATCATCACTGCCACGTAAGATGGGCACACATCTGTAGCCAGCCCTCCCTGAGGGGAAGTGAGTCCAGCTCTGTGAACGACCAGAGTGAGACACCCAGGCGGTGCTTTCTCCTCCCTTCGTCTCGGTATCCTCCTGCCCACGATGGGGATGTTGACATGAGGTCATAGGCAGGTGAGACCAGCTCTGGGCACAGAGCAAGGGCAGGTGGGGAAAATGAGGCTCAGCAAGGCCAAGGACGCCTGGTCACCTAGCCGGTGCCCCACCCAGTGTTAATCAGAGAGGCCCAGACGTGACATGGTGCCCTCCCCCCTTCCCTTCACAGCCCGGGTGGGAGTGTTGTGATAACCCACAGCCCCCGTTTCCTCCTGGCCAGGAAGGAGCCAGGCAGAGGAAGTATTAAGAGGAGTAATATAAACACTTCCCCCCCTCCCCCCTGCCGTGGCAAGGTCTAGAAGGGGCAGAAGCCACCACCCAGAGCAGACCAGCCAGCAGAGCAGTGCCGGTGCACCGGGCAGAAGCTGGGAGGAGATGGGCTTGGCGATGGAGCACGGGGGACCGTATTCACGGGCAGGGGGCAGCCCGAGGGGATGCTGGTACTATCTACGCTATTTTTTCCTCTTTGTCTCGCTCATCCAACTCCTCATTATCCTGGGCCTTGTCCTCTTTATGGTCTATGGCAACGCGCACGTGAGTACCGAATCCAACCTGCAGGCCACCGAGCGCCGGGCTGACGGCCTCTACGGCCAGGTGGTGGGGCTCACGGCCTCCCAGGCCAACCTGTCCGAGAAGCTCAACCTCACCTCCCGCGCCAAGGATGCCATCATGCTGATGCTGCTAAACGCGCGCCGCGACCTGGACCGAATCAACGCCAGCTTCCGCCAGTGTCAGGCCGACCGGGTAAGTCCACAGGCCGGACACCCGTCCCGGGGAACCCCAGGCTGGTCACCTCACCTCTCTGAGTTTCACTTTCCTCGTTCATGAGACAGGGACAGTCACGGACCCTACGTCTTGTGTGCCGAGCCCATGTAGAGAAGCAATGCGTATTGTGTCTGTATATCTCATGCAATACTTGGGACACACTTCGACTAAAATGTGATTTGTGGTCTATCTGGAGTTCAAGTTGAACTGGGCATCCGGTCTGTTGTCAGACCTAGGCCCATGGCTTAATGTGTATAAAGCACCCAGAACGTACCAGCACATACTAGCTTCAAATAAGAGCTGGTTTAATAAACGCTCAGAGTGTTGGATTCTTAGCAATTAGTATGAATGGTTCAGGTTTGCCTGAGGTTGGATGTCCGCTTAGGAAATATTATCTCTTCCTTGAGTCCCAGGAGGTAGGGAGAAGATTTCAAACCCTTTTGCAGAGGGGAAATGGAGGCCTAAGAAAAGAGGTGGCTTGTTGGGGGACGGGGGGGCAGCAGGGAGCAGAAATGGGCAACCCTGGGTCTCGTGGAGACTGTCAGCCCTCCCTCGTACCCCCAACTCCTGTCAAACGCACTCAGCAAGATCCCCCATGTTCTCACACATACACGATTCCTCTGAGGAGGTCCCGTTCCTGGGAACACTGAGGAGATGTTGCCTCCTCAGGCTTTGGCTGGAATGGGGTGAGAGAAGGGGTGGGCAGGGGAAGGGAAGGGTTGGGGAGAGGGGCAGGCTCTCTTTCTCCCACAGGAGGTGTCTGGGCTGTTTGGGGCAAGGGACCGTGGAAAGAAAAGGCCTTTACTGGGGCTTCAGACCACCCAGCCCCTGCCACTGGGCAGGAAGGATGTGCACAGCTCCCCTCAGAACTGCCCAGGCAAGGGTGAGGTCTCCCCATCTCATTCCCCCAGGACAGGGCCGGTCCCCCTTAGATCCTCAGAAAAAGGTGAGTCCTCCTCAGACCCCCAGATGAGGCAAGTCCCCCCTCAGACCACAGGGCTGGACCATGTACCCCCTCAAATACTCCCCACCCCTGACAAGGGCAGCTCCCTCAGACTTCTCAGTTCCCGGGAATTGGACCTTTTGAATCTTTCAGGACACGCATGGTCTTCCGGTCCAGGAGCCATTAGGAATCCCAGGATCATAAAGTTTTATTCTTTTGTTTTTTGGATTTTGTTTTTCGTTTTTGGCCATGCTGCGCCAGGGTCTTAGTTCCCCCACCAGGGATGGAACCCATGCCCCATGCAGTGGAAGCGCAGGGTCTTAACCACTGGACCTCCAGGGAAATCCCTTTTTTGTTGTTGTTTTCGGTTTGGGTTTTTTTTTGTTTTTATCATAAAGTTTTAGACATTCGCACGCATCTCCAAATCCCGGACGGCCCCATCATAGAATATTAGAAATCTAAGAATCTGCCTCTTTACAACTTTAAATTTTGAAAATCGTAGCTTTCCCCCCACACACAAGTTGACAAATTCCTCTGTCCTGGAACCCCTCAGGGTTTTCTCCAAGGACCCCCCCAGGAAGCGGGCACTGATGCTGGGGAGTAGCCCCACCCCTGCCACGGCAGCCCCACATGTCTGATGGTACCAAGTATGAATTTTGATCTTTCCCTGATCCTGGTGGTGCTATGAGACGGATTTTTTTCTTAAATTCTCTGCAAATGCAGTTGCATTTCTGGCTCTGAGACCCTGGAGAGAAAGGGGAAATTAACTCAGTGTGTTTTTTTTAGGGTATGCCCCACTCTGCCTGGAAGCACCTCCACCCAGGACGCATGCAGGAGAGATTTTTTTTGTCATGGATTTTTCTTTATTCAGCATTCGTAATAATCTTTTTGATGGTCAGATTATCCTGAAATAGGCCATAGGAACACCCTCAATCTGGCTCCTGTGTCTTTTGATGGAACTCCATTAGCCTTTGAGAGCTTCCTTGCTTTATGTCCTAACAAATATTCCAGAAAACCCTTCAGACTGTTTATACTTGTTCACTAATCAATTAGTTCTCTCCCTCTGAGTCCAGGGCAACCATGGCTACAGGAAAGTGAGGGAGAGACTCCTGAATTACTTCATAAAGATGTACCTGAACACTCCTTAACAAGAGAAGATACTTTTTCTTGTATTGTCGGATTGCACTAGATCTAAGTAAATATTCTTCTCATCATCTTGACATCTGAGAACCTGTGCAGAAAAATACTTCTGTATTTTTGGGAGCTATTTCCTCCAACTGGAAGAAAACCTCTTTCGCACTTCATCTTTGGAGCCAACTCGTACCCTGAGATCTTCCCTTTCTGTAGTTAAGGCTTTTGAAAACAGACGTCACTGGAGCTTCCAGAGCTATTTCTGTCCTCCCCCATGCCCAGGTCATTAGGACAGGGCCAGCTTCCAAAGAAGTAAGGACAAAAAGTGACAGAAAGGCACACCCTCTTCACCCTTCATACCTTTCCTTGTTATATTTCTGCAGAGCGTCTGTTCCAAAGTTTTAAAGACATAAAAAACGTTATAAAGTTAAAATGTAATTCACATGCCATACAATTGGCCCATTTCAAGTGTACATAACAGGGACTTACATGGTGGTCCAGTGGGTGTGACTCACACTTCCACTGCAGGGGACACTGCAGGGGACACGGGTTCGATCCCTGGTCCGGGAACTAAGATCCTGCATGCCGTGCGGTGCGGCCAAAAAGAATAGTAATAATTAAGTGTGTATAATTTTTTTAAAAAAGTGTAGATGAAAGAAAAAAGTGTACATAACAATGATTTTTAGTCCATTCACAGAGTTGGGCAACCGTCAGCACAATTCAGTTTAGAACATTTTCATCACCCCCAAGAGAAACGCCACCAGCAGTCACTTCCCATTCCCCCTCACCCAGCCTCTGACAAACACAAATCTGCTGTATGTTTCTATGGATTTACTTACTCTAGAGGTTTCCTTTAAATGGAATCATGCACTATATGACCTTTTGTGTCTGGGTTCTCACCCTCAGCATGATGTTTTCAAGGTTCATCCCCATTGTAGCGTGTGTCAGTGCTTCCTTCCTTTTGATAGTCGAATAATATTCCGCTGTATGGATGGATCACGTTTTATCCATTCATCTGTGGATGAAACACTTGGGCTGTTCCTACCTTCTCGCTACTGTGATTAGCGCTGCTGTGAATATTTGGGTACGAGTTTTAGTGTGAACATACGCTTCCATTGCTCTTGGGTATATATACCTAGGAGTGGAATTTGCTGGGTCATAGTGTAATTCTATGTTTAACTTCTAGAAAAACTTGCCAGGCTGCTTTCCACTGTGGCTCCACCATTTTTCCATTCCCATCAGTACTGCCTGAGAATTCTGTTTCTCCACATCCTTACCAACACTTGCCCATTCTTGTTTTCTGTTTTATTTATAGCCATCCTAGTGGTTGTGAGGTGATATCTCATCATGGTTTTCATTTGCATTTCCTGATGACTGAAGACGATGAACATCTTTTGATGTGCTGGTTGACCTTTTATATATCTTCTCTGGAGAAATGTCTATTCAGATGCTTTGCCTAGTTTTCAGTTAGGTTGTTTTTTATTATTAATTTCTGAGAGTTTACTTTTATATATTCTGGTTGCCATTCTCAGCATCAGACACACGATTTGCAAATATTTCCCCATCTATGGGCTGTTTTCTTCCCTTTCTTAATGTTGTCCTTTCATGCACAAAAGTTTTTAATTTTAAGTCCTATTTATCTGCTTTTTCTTTTGTTGCTTGTGCTTTTGGTATCATATGTAAGAAACCATTGCCAAATCCAAAGTCATGCAGAGTTAACACCTGTTCTCTTCTAAGGAGTTTTATAGCTTAAGCCCTTACATTTAGGTCTCGGACCCAACTTGAGCTAATTTTTGTATACGGTGTGAGGTAGGGGGTCCAAATTCATTCCTTAGTTTGTGGCTGTCCAGTTGTGCCAGCACCATTTGTTGAAGAGAATCTTCTTTCCCATGAAACGATCTTGGCAGCTGTATTAGTTTGCTAGGCCTGTCTTACAGTACCACAAATCAGGTGGCTTAAATAACAGAAACTTATTTTCGCACAAGCACAGGTTCAAGATGTTGGCGGAATTATTTCCTTCCCAGGCCCATCAGGATCTGTTCCATGTCTCTCTCCTTGGCCTGTTGATGGCTGTCTTCTCCCTGTGTCTTCACTTCATGGTCCCTCTGTGCATGTCTGGGTGTCCAGATTTCCTCTTACAAGGACCCACCCTAATGACCTCATCTTAACTTAACTGCCTCTTTAAAGACCCTGTCTCCAAATACATTTACGTTCTGAGGTCCTGAGAATCAGGGCTTCAACATGGGAATTTGGGGTGGGGGACACAATCCAGCCCATAACAGCATTCTTGTCAAAAAAAAAAAAAAAAAAAAAAATCTGTTTTTCGGGGAATTCCCTGGCGGTCCAGTGGTTGGAACTCAGCGCTTTCACTACTGAGGGCACAGGTTCAATCCCTGGTTGGAGAATTAAGATTCCCCCAAGCCACACAGCACAGCCAAAATCCGTTATTAATTGGCTGTAAATGTTTTCAAGGTTCATTCAAGTTGTAGAATATATCAGTGCTTTGTTCCTTTTTATTGCCAAATAGTATTAATCATAACTTTTTTTTTATCTTGGTTGACTAAAATGCCTAGGGAAAGAGGTGGGTTTTTTTTTTTAATTTATTTATTTTGGCTGCGTTGGATCTTCATTGCTGCGCACGGGCTTTTCCCTAGTTGCGGCCAGAGGGGGCTACTCTTCGTTGCAGTGTGCAGACTTCTTATTGCGGTGGCTTCTCTTGTTGTGGAGCACGGGATCTAGGCGCACGGGCTTCAGTAGTTGTGGCACGTGGGCTCAGCAGTTGTGGCTCTCGGGCTCCAGAGCACAGGCTCAGTAGTTGTGGCGCACAGGCTTAGTTGCTCCATGGTATGTGGGATCTTCCCAGACCAGGAATCGAACCCATGTCCCCTGCGTTGGCAGGCAGATTCTTAACCATTGCACCACCAGGGAAGTCCAGGTGGGGTTTCTTTGAACTTTTTTTTTTAATTAAATGAATGAAAGATCCTTTAAATTCTATAGCGCTTTACAGTTTTCAAAAGTTTCACACACACGATTTCATACAATCCCATAATACCCTTTTTAAAATTTCCTACCCCTATATTCCCCCTCCCCTCTTTCCTCTCCCCACTGGTAACCACTAGTTTGTTCTTTATCTGTGAGTCTGCTTCTGTTTTGTTATATTCACTAGTTTGTTGTATTTTTTAGATTCCACATGTAAGTGATATCATACAATATTTGTCTTTCTCTGTCTAACTTATTTCACTTAGCATAATGCCCTCCAGGTCCATCCATGTGGCTGCAAGTGGCAAAATGTCATTCTTTTTTATGGCTGAGTAGTATTCCATTGTCTATAATCATAACAACTTTTGAAGATCAGACCAGCATCCCCTGTAGAGAAGCCATGTCCTTGTGAACTATGCCAACACAGACCACCTGGGTGCTGGATCTGAGGCCCCAGCCCTGAGAATCTGGGCAGCGCCGGGGGCAGGGGGTCCCACAGGAGCCTGACACTGAGCTCTGTCCTGTGTCACATCCGGACAGGTGATCTACATGAACAACCAGCGATACATGGCTGCCATCATCTTGAGTGAGAAACAATGCCAAGAACAACTCAAAGAAAGTAACAAGAGCTGCGATGGTGAGTGGGTTAGGGTTAGGGTTATAATTATGGACAGTGGAGAGCAGGATAGCTGACTCCCCACCCAGTCTCTTGGCAGCCCCCAACCTTCCTGACTCTTATGGTCCTATACCCTTAGCTTTGGCCCTCACACTGAACCAGAAAGCCAAGACACTGGAGGTGGAGCTGGCAAAGGAGAAGGTGGTATGTACCAAAGACAAGGATGGTCTGGCGTTGGGCAAGCGAGTGATGGAGGAACAGCTGGCCAAGTGCAGCAAAGCCCAGGAGCAGCAGCAGCAGGAGCGACAGCTGGCCGAGGACCGTCTGCAAAAGGTGCAGGCCCTCTGCCTCCCGCTGGACAAGGACAAGTTTGAGATCGAGCTGCGCAACCTCTGGAGGGACTCCATCATCCCGCGCTCCCTTGACACCCTGGGCTACAATGTGTTCCATCCCATTGGCTCGGAACTGGCCTCCATCCGGAGAACCTGCGACCACATGCCCACCCTCATGAGCTCCAAGGTGGAGGAGCTGGCCCGCAGCTTGCGGGCTGGCATCGAGCGTGTGACCCGTGAGAACTCGGACCTCCAGCGCCAGAAGCTGGAGGCCGAACAGGGTCTGCGCGCCAGTCAGGAGGCCAAGGAGAAGGTGGAGAAGGAGGCCCAGGCCCGGGAGGCCAAGCTCCAGGCTGAATGTGCCCGGCAGACCCAGCTGGCCCTGGAGGAGAAAGCAGCGCTGCGGAAGGAGCGTGACAACCTGGCCAAGGAGTTGGAGGAGAAGAAGCGGGAGGCTGAGCAGCTCAAGATGCAGCTGGCTGTCAGCAGCTCGACCCTGGACACCTGCATCAAGGCGAAGGTGGGCCAGAGGTCCCTGGCTTCAGGTTGCGTTGGGGGTGGGTCTGGAGGCCAAGCTGATGGTGATGTTGAAGTTGGGTTTGAACTTTTTTTTTTTTTCTTGGTGTTGAGGTTGGCTTCCCAGTCTAGGTTGGGTTACTTAGACTCACTTGAGAATTTCACTGGTTTCACTGATGTCAGGATTGAGGCAGAGCTCGGAATGGGGATCAGCATTGAGAAAAGGTGTCGGGTTAAGACCGGAGTTGGAGGTCGGGTGGCTGTCAGGTCCAGGGTTGAGTGAGGGGCAAATCTAGAATTGTGGTTGCTTTGGGGTTGGGGTGAGCTGAGACACTGAGGGTGGATTTAGGCTTGAGGCTGAGATCAGACATGGGTGACTGTGAGTCTAATGCTTTAGGATTATGGTTATGTATTAACATAAGGATTTTATTGGCATTAGGTTTGGGGTGGAGTTTGGATTGGGAATGACATTAAGAAAGGGTTAAGGATTGGGGTTGAGTTTAGGAAGGCAGGTGGGCCTCAAAATTGGGGTGGGTTCTTGGTGACTCCTGTGTCTAGAGTTGATTTGGGTTAAGGTTAGGGTTCCATGTAAGATTTCATTAGTCTTAGAATTAGGTTGAGTTTGGAGTTTGGATTGTGAGGAAAGGTTAAATGTTGGGTCAGGGGTCACATGCAGGGTGGCTCTTGGATGAAGGATTTGGTGAAGAGTGAATCTAGGGTTTCAGTGGGTTTGGGATTGCATTAAGTTGAGGCTGGAGTTGAAGCTCAGGCGGGTGTAGGTGGTTGGTGGGCCTAGAGACGATTAGAAGTTTGGGGCCAAGGGCGGATTCAGAACTTCATGGGCATTAAGATTGGAATTGGCATTGACCATGGGCTAGGAGTTGAGAGTGGGCTGCATTTAGGGTGGCTGGTGTTACGATATATTTGACGTGAAGGATTAGGTGAGCCTGGGCTTCGAGTGCAGGTCAAGACTGGGTCTAGAGTAGAAGCCGGGTGGACGTTGATCTTGGGCTGAGGCTGGGCTGGGGTTCTAACTCAGGTAGAGGCTGAGGTCTGAGGTTGAGCTGGGGTTGAGTGTGGTATTGGGAAGGTATTTATGGGTGGCTGTAGTGGAGTGCCGGGCTGGCGCTGAGGGAATGGGGGTAGCGGGGTAGATTTTTCATAGCGGCTGGGTCTAGGGGATGGGTTATGGTCAGAGTTAGATGTAAAGTTATGATCAGATCAGGTTTGTCATTGGGACTGGGTTAAGGTCAGTCTTTGATTCTAAGGGAGGTTCTGTTTTCAGGTTGGGATCTGATTTTAGGTGACTGAGTGAGTTCAGAACTGGTTTTGGATTTCAGGTTTGGAAAGATCCTCTCGGGGTCCTTCAAGGGATGGCATTGAGGATCGAGGTCCAGTTGGTTTACAGAGTGGGTCAGCTTCAGTCTGGAGCGGGGCTGGGTTGGGTGGATGGACTCAAATGGGGTCTTGGATTGGAGTCAGGCTGGCACCAAGGCTGTAATGGAGACCGTGGCAGGACCCCTGCAGAGTGGGGTCTCCAGGGGCTGCCAAGGGAAGCCAGTCCCTGCAGTCCCCAATCATTTGAAGGCAGGCGTCTACAGGTGATTATATATCCATCATCACGTGTCCTTCTCCATGGGTATCTGTCTGTTTTCTCTGCCCTGGAAGGAACTCAGGTCTCCAAGGGTGTGGAGAGGCAGGAAACTCCCTGGGACTCGTGTTTGGGATCCCTGGCCTCCACCAACCTCCTTTCACCCTTCTTCCCACAGTCGCAGCCAATATCACTGCCAAGACCTGCAGGCCCTGCCCCCAATCCCCCGCCCATTGGTGAGTGACAGAGGGCAGAGCCAGGAAAGGGGGGCGGATTCCACCTTGGATCCTGGGTTGGCCAGCCCATTCCCTGACCCTGGAGGGGGGGTTACTAAGGCATTAGGTCGGGGCTGACCCCTCCCTCTCTTGGCAGACCCAGCTGGGCTGGAGGAATTCAAGAGGAGGATCCTGGAGTCCCAGCGACCCCCTGCCAGCAGTGTCTTAGCATCAGCCAGGTGAGGTTCTGGATAGGCTGAGACAGTTCAGTCTCAGGCTTTAGATGAGGCTGGGTACAGGACTAGGGGTGGAGGGAGGCTCGTATCACACTTGTTGCTTCCTTAATCGAGCACTTGCTGTATACCAGGCCCTATGCTGGACCAAGGGGACACAGCAGTGACCAAGACACACACAGTTCCATTCATGAAACTCCCGAGTAGTGGGCCAAAGAGACAATGAAGGAGGCAGGGTAAGAAGAGTGACCAAGAACGTACCACAGTTGGATGCTTGCTGTGATCTTGGCACAGTCCTAAGCACTCTGCCCAATTAACTCATTTAATCCCCAGAATCCTAATCTGTGGGTGAGCTACTGTTATCCCCACTTTCTGGATGAAGCAAATGAGGCATAGAGAGGGTGTGCATCGTGCCCCAGGTAACACAGCCAGAGCTGGGACATGAACCTAGGCGATCAGACTCCAGACAGGAAAGGGAGGGCCTGGATGAGGAAGGGACCTTTGAGCTGGAGGCTAGACAAGAGCTGGCCTGGGGGAAGGCAAGGGGAACAGTGCTCCAGGTGGCAAGAACAGCCAGGGCAAAGGCCCTGTGGGCGGACTAGGGTGGCAGAAGTGAACAGAGCCGAGGAAGGGGAAGAGGGAGAGCAGTGTCCGAGAGTGACCCTAGGCCTCTCACTCCACCCTTCTGAGCCACACTTTCTACTTCTATAAAAATGAGGGTCTCTGGGCTTCCCTGGTGGCGCAGTGGTTGAGAGCCCGCCTGACGATGCAGGGGACGCGGGTTCGTGCCCCGGTCCGGGAAGATCCCACATGCCGCGGAGCGGCTGGGCCCGTGAGCCATGGCCGCTGAGCCTGCGCGTCCAGAGCCTGTGCTCCGCAACGGGAGAGGCCACAAAAGTGAAAGCCCCCAAAACAGAAAAAAAAAAAAAAAAAAAAAAAGGGGGTCTCTGAAATCAAAGGCATGCAAATGCTTTGCCAGCCAAGTGCTGTCCACACATGGCTGGAGGAGCAAGGAACCCAGGGCCTCAGTGGGGAGCATCAAGGGTGCCTGGCACATGTTCAGGTGATGGCTCCATGCCTTTGACCCCCTCACTGCCTCCCAGGGCCTGGTCATCTGTTGGACGACACCCTGTGCGTCACGGGGAAGGTGACTCAGACCACAGCTCCAAGAACACCCTGTGCTCCCTCCAGGGTCGCTCTTACACCCCCCCCAACCCCCCACCCCCTACCCTGTTCAGGACCACACTGCTGACCTAGGATGGGCAACCCATTTGCAGTTTAGGACCTGAGGTTCGAGGAGGTATGTGGGATTTTTGTCAGACCCCTCTGATCCCAAAGCCTGTGCCATCAACAGTTTTGCCACCAGGCTATTATGAAGCTAGGTCTATTTCAGCCCCAGGGTGCTAAACAAAGCCCTTGGGGCCAAAAAGATTTCCAAACGTCTGTCATTAACTCCCCACGGTCCTCCGCACCCAGCTCCATCTTCCCTATGCATCTTCTTACATACTTCCTCTGACAGGGAGCTCACCCCCTTACGGAACTGGGTCCCCTCGCTCTGGATAGCTCTGCCTGGGAGAAATCCCTCAGCCTCGGGCAGCCTGCAGAGAGGGAAGCAAGGGGGTAGGGAGAAGACCCTGCTCTGAGCAGTTTTCCTCTCTCCATCTTGGCCTGAAGCCATCATGGCAAGGAAGGAGGTTCTATTATTATCCCCACTTCTCAGAGGAGGGAACTGAGGCCCCAGGGAAGTGATCAGCCCGGGGTCATGCGTCAGCAAGTCAGGGCTGGAGCCAGGCTCCCAGTCCAAGCCTGTCCCGGTCCCAGCTGAGGATGGGGAAGCTCTTGACATTGTTTACCCCAAATGACGTACCCCACCCACCCACCCACCGCCACGGAGGAAACAATGTGTACTTAAGCCTGGGCCCCTCCTGCTTCTCTCTGCAGTATCACAGGAAGGGCTTCTGGTCCATGGGCTCCCGCCTTGATTTGCCTTCCTCTGAGATAGGGGCCGGGCATGAGCAGGCTGGGGTCTTCTTCGGCTCCGGTTTTGAGCCCCAGCTCGGCCAGGCACTCAGTGGACAGCCAGTGAGTGACTGAATCGTAACGTCCAAATTTTATATGCACCCAACAGGGGACCGGATCTGAGGCCTCGCATCAAATCACCCACCCCATGATGGGGACTGTTGATTCCTTTTCCACTCATTCCTTCTGGGCCTCGAGAAAGTCTGCGCTGCTGCTAACTCACCCTAATGCCTCCCAGACCCTTGCAGTTCTCCCATATTCACAGAGGGAGGGCAGACCCAGGCTCCGGTGTCAGCTGCACTTGAGAACATGGTCTTGCTTTTTCATTGAACATTTTTAAGTGGTTTTCTATTAATGGCAAATGCACCAGCTTTCCTTTACTTGGTAAGACTGAGTATCCTTTGGAGATCACTTTATTTAAATTAAAAAAACACAACACAATGGAGGTGAAGACAAATATTAAGTGAATATTGGTGTAGCGGCTACGTGGCTGGAGATGGCACAAGTCACAATGTGGAAGGTTGAAGATGGGAGCTCAGCCCTGGCTCTGAGCCGAGCACACAGCGAGTGTCGATTCAAGTTCACTGCCATCACTATGACCGTTTGTTTTTTCATTCAACCCACATTTCCTGAGCAGCTCCTGGGGTGCTGAGGACACAGGGAGGAATAAGGCACAGAAATCCAAATCCTCACCCTCGTGCGGCTGACAGTCTAGTGGGGGAGGTGGATGACAAACCAGATGAGTGAGCCATGATAGGGACCCTTGGTGATGAGTGAAACAGAAAAGGGATGAGGGAGCTTGAGGAGGTTAGAATTTTCCACGGGGGTGGGGTGGGGGCGGGGCCAGGGCAGGCTTCACTGAGGAGGTGACATTTGAGCAGAGAACTAAAGAAGATGAGGGAGGAGCCATGAGGGGATTCTCAGAAGGGTGCACCAGGCAGTGAGCACAGCCCGTGCAAAGGCCCTGAGGCAGGACCATCCATGCCCGGTGAGTTTGAGGGAGGCAGCTGGTGTGGCTGGAGCTGAGTGATCGAGGGGAGAGTGGGAGGAGGTGAGGTCAGGATAAATCAGGCAGGGCCTTGGGGCTGCAGTGAGGACTTTGGGAGCCCTGGGAAGGCTGTGAACAGCAGAGGATGTGACCCGACTCAGGTGTTCACAGGCTCATTCTGGTCGCTGTTGTGGAGGGCGAAGGTGGGAACCTGAGACAGGGGTGAAGGCGACTGTGCTGGTCCAGATGAGCGATGGGGTTTAGGAGCCCCAGTCTCTGAAAATGGCCAGGGATGACCCTCCCTTGCAGGCTGGTGAGCAGGAGTAGTTAAAGGATGTCTGTCGGGGCTGCCTTGGAGCCTGTGAATCCTGGTAGAGGACAGAGCCTGGAGCTGGGAAGGGGGGCACCAGAGCCAGCCAAGGAACGTGAGGTTGCGGGGGCCCCAGGGAAGAGCCAGGGAAGGAAGGGAGGGGGCCAGCGGAAGCAGGACTTGGCAGAGGCCCCCACCTCCCCCATCAGGAAACAGCCTCTGAGCCAACCTCTGACCCCTCGTGAGAACCTTTGGCAGGCCCAGGAGGGGGAGGGGCATCCCAGACAGCGGGATGGCTCCTGCAAAGGCAAGGGGGAGGGGCGGAAGTGAAGTGATGGCTCTGAGAAGTTGGGGGGTACTTTGTCAGGTTTTGATTCCCCAGTGGGGAGGCCTGGTGGGGGCATAGTGGGTGGAGCCTTGAATGTCAGATACAGAAGATCTGGCTTTGTCCCAAGGGCGCTGGGGAGCCATGGGAGCATGTGAGTAGGGGCAGGCTCATTAGAAAAACCCTCCTGGGAATGAGTGAGGGGCCAGGTCTAGGTCAGTTCTGTGTAGACCAAAAGGGAAACTGAGGCCCTGCCTGGGGGCCGGGGGGCCGGGGACTTTGGGCAAACACCCAGGATCCCCAGGGCCTTAGGGAGCAAAGGGGAGAGAGTCAGACAGACTGCAACAGAGGCCTGGAGCACAGGAGGCGGCCCCTCTGAACCTCAGTCTATATAATGGATAGGCACACATCTCAGTCCCACCTGTCCCACAGAGGTTCAACAAGGCGAAATCTAAGGGCAGGTTGAAACCGGCAGGAGCCCTAGGGTTCTTGGGAACAAGAAGGGGCCCAGGGGAAGAGGCAGGCCCAGGCGAGGTTTGTCCTGCCGTCTGTCTGTCTGACTGACTATTGTATTCCCATCTCCTTCCTGCCCCAGTGGCTGAGGAGGCTCTAGGCCCCGAGGACCGAGGGGTGGCCCCGACTCACCGGTCTGGAGACTAGGTGCAGCGAGACGCCCACGGCGAGGGACACAGCCAGGGTGGAGTCAGATAACGCACGCACGACAAAGTGGGCGCCCTTGGCCTGCGCCCCCTGCTCATCCTCCACCACACCGCACCCACACCCCCTAACACTCTCTCCGCACCACACAATCCCTCACCCCCTAGATGCCGGGACGACGTCACAGATGCAGTGACATCAATCACACAGACACGGTGGTGACGTCACACAGAGACAAGGCAATGACATCACAGAGATACACGGCGACATCACACACGCACTTCCTGCCCAGCCCTTGCCCAAAATCACATCCCTTTGTGCACGCGGGTCAAGGCACCCACAGCATCCCTCACTCATCTGGAGCATCTTAGCGCTCCAGGTCTGGGGGAGTGAGAACAGGAAGACATTCACCTTCGTCCTCCCCTGAGGTTTTCCAGGCCCCCGAGAGAGGGAGCATCTGGTCCAGGGGACCCCTCAGAGCCCACGAGGGTGCTGCCCCTTCACTCTCTCTCCCCTCCATATCCAGCCCTGCCTGTGGCCCATATAAATGTTAGTGGCACTAAATAAATGTTATCAAATCCCTTCAAAGACTCCAGAGTCATGATTTCTGCTTTGAAAAGGTACCACCAGGCTCTGAGTGAGAAAAAAACTAGGAATAAGATGAAAGCTGAAGAATCCCATCGCCAGCGTCCCCAGGTCAGAAGACCCTCCAACCCGGAGCAAACGTGAGTAGACACCAGCTTCCCCCAAGCGGTAGGCATCCCCATATGTGAAGAGAAATGGCAAAATCATAGTCAATAAGGGTTTCATGAAATGCCTACAAAACCCCACATTGTGACAGCATTGTTGTCAATTTAGTGTTTGTTTAAAATAGCAGATTTTTTTCCTATTTTTTTAAAAAGCATATATTTAAAAAGCAGTTTCTTAAATAAATACAAATAAAAAGCGGTTTCTGAAAAAGCAGATTATCTATTTGTAGCTTTTGTTTTTGCTAGGTTTGCAGAGATTCCCCCAGGTACAGACAACAATTACTGAGGTACCACAGCCTGTTTTGCAGGAACTCCTCCTCACCAAAATGATTCCAGAACAATATCACAAAAGTCCCAGGCATCTGTCTTGTTTGAGGTTTTTTGGTGGGAAGATGGGATGTTAGAAAGGGCACCAGTGTCCAATTAGGGAGCACTTCAACTCACTGATCACTAAATTAGCAGGAAGCCGGGGAAATTTTGCACATTAGAGGAACACAGGGAAATCACAACATGCCCAACAGACTGGGGAAAAAAGTGTTAAAAAGCTATAATACCGACTGCTGGTGAAGAGGCTGGGCCCGTGAGTCATGGCCGCTGGGCCTGCGCGTCCGGAGCCTGTGCTCCGCAGCGGGAGAGGCCACAGCAGTGAGAGGCCCTCGTACCGCAAAAAAAAAAAAAAAAAAAAAAAATTGTGGTCTAGAATCTCAGCTTGTCTGTCTCTCCACTTTGATTCCCTCCCAGCCCATCCCCTGGGACCTTGGACAGGGAGGGGATGAATCACGAGGAGCCGAGGCTGGCAACGCCACGCTTAGGGCAGGCTAGTCAGGAGGGACAAAGGAGCGATATTTCCTGGATACAGGAACCCGGGCGAGAGACGGGCCGCTGCAGGAAACACTCGGCTGGGGCCCCGCCAAGCAAGGGCAGGAGGGTCAGCCAGGCCTGGCCGCCCAGACGGGCCAGTCTGGAGGCCCCAAGGAAGCAGGGACGTCCCTGACCCTGAGCCTACTGCCTGAGCAGCCTGGAGTCCTGGGGAGGATGCCGACAGCAGCCAATCCCAAGCAACCGTGGGACACCTGAGTTTGGCTTCCAGACTCTGACATTCCTGCATTCAAATCTTGGCTCAGTCAATCTCAGCCTCCATTTACTCACCTAGAAATAAGTGTAATAATAATCATCCTAGGGACCTCCCTGGCCGTCCAGTGGTTAAGATTACGTGCTTCCACCGCAGCGGGCGAGGGTTCGATCTCTCGTCGGGGAACTAAGATCCCGCGAGCAGTGCGGTGCGTCCAGAATAATAACCATCATCTTCCTTAACTCTCTGGACCCATGGGCGCAGGTCTCTGATTCTTGGTCGGTCTCTCCCATTCAGAGCGTCCCAATGTCATCCTTCTAATCAGCCCCCACGCCCGCCCGATCTATTCGTCGTGGGATCTGACCACGTGCCTCTCCCGCTCACATACCTCCATGGCTCCTCATCACCCTGGGAACAAAGCCCAGTTCCTCAGCTCTCTTGTGCCCTCCCTCCTCACACACAATACCGCCTTTGCCTCCAGCTGTCCTGGACCTTTGACTCTTTGACTCCTCAGTGACTTTTGTGTTGTGCCCTCAGACTAGAATGCCTTTTTCTTGCCTGCAAATTCTTCTTCCCCCAAGGCCCAGCCCTAGAGATCTCTCCTCCAGGCAGCCCCCCTAGATGCCCCAGGCATAGTTCTTGCTCCCTCTGGGTACCTCTTGGGCCCCATCCTTCCCTCTTCCCAGCCCTGATCCTGTAGCTCTGACTTCTCCACGCTGGTGTCCTCCCCATCTCCATCCCCCCGGGGAGCCAGGTAGGGGCTGAGTACCAGTCAGGGAGTAATTGGCAGACCCTGTGGTCCAGCCGCTGGGTGAGGTTCTGACTCTTTGGGGACTTCCTGTGACCTCTATAAATAACCCCCATGGCTGCTTCCCACAAACCGCCTCTCCCTTCTTGGAAAAAAGGGACCGTAGCCAAGGACCTCAGTCCAGCTGTGTGCCAGGGCCCAGGCATCCTTCCCCAAAAGCATCTCCCCCACCCAGACCCCACTCACCCCTCCTGGGAGCCCTCCAGGCCCTGCCCACACAGAAGACATCTGGGCACCCACCTCTTCTAGACCCACATTGTTGCTTCTTCTTGTCTTTCTGCAAAATGGACATAATAGTAATATCCATGCACTAAACTCATGGAGTGACCCTTTCCCTCCAGAAGCCTTTCATGGTGGGGGTTGGGGGGCAGCAGCTGTCGAACAAGCAGACAAATCAACAGACTGTGACATATTGCAATGAAGTCATGAAGAAATGGGGTCGGAGGTCCCTTTAGCTGGGTGGTGGGTCCTGGACACCTCCCAGCCTCTGCTCATGTGTCCCCTGAAACCGGAGTTTGTATCTTCAACTACTGGAGGTGATTTTTTTCTGATTCTGGAAAAGATCCTGACCCTATTTGAGACTCCATGTCCACCTCTGGCAAAAGGGGAGTTAACCATTCATATGCCACCAGGTGGGTGTGGAAGCCTGGATCTCTGGGACCTTAGGGGCCTGGAGCTTCCCTGGAGGACTGCCAGACACCTTCTTTGTTAGAGCAAAGCGCCCCCTGCTGGTTCATCACCGCCACATCAGGTCACCCATAAGTCTTGGAACCAAAGGCCTCACTATCAGGATCTTCCTCTCCTCCTGGACCTCTTCTCCCTCCTCTCTAGCCCTCATCACTCTACTTCCAGCCACACTAGCCACCTTGCTGTCCCTCGAACACACCGTGATGCTCCCACCTCAGGGCCTTTGCACGTGCCGTGCCCTCCACCTGGGATGCTCTTGCTAGCCTCTCCCATCTGGTTTCCTTCTTCTCACCTTTCAGATGTCGGTGCAGATGCCACCTCTGCAGGGCAGCCTGCCCTTATGTCCACCCCTGACCAGGTCAGGTCTCCTCATTGTAAGTTTGCCCAGCAGCCATCAGGCCTCACCAAAAGGAGCCGTGTCTCTTCTTTAACAAGGGCAGGATTTATGTCTGCTTATTCCCCTCAATGATCCCAGCCCCCTACACACGGCCTGTTGCCCAGAAGGCCTGCAGTGAACTCAAATTGAACTTGAACAGACCTATGTGCAAATCCCAAAGCTGGGGACCTCCAGCAACTAACTACTTCTCTGAACCTGTTTCCTCACCTATAAAACTGTAACAAAATACCCACTGCATTGTGCTGTTATGAAGATCCCATCAAATGATGTGTACAATTCTAACACATACTAGGTGCTGGATAAATATTCACTGAATGAGTGAATGAATCACTGAATGAATGACTAAGCACGAAAAGGAAGTAGGGATTTTGCAAGTCACTTTGAAGATAACAGAAGCAAAGTTTCGGGACTTCCCTGGCAGTCCGGTGGTTAAGACTGCAGGGGGCGCGGGTTCGATCCCTGGTCGGGGAACTAAGACCCCACCTGCCACGTGGCACAGCCAAAAAGAAAATAAATAAATACATAAATAAATAAATAAAAATTAAGGGCTTCCCTGGTGGTGCAGTGGTTAAGAATCCGCCTGCCAATGCAGGGGACACGGGTTCAAGCCCTACTCTGGGAAGAGCCCACATGCCGCGGAGCAACTAAGCCCATGCGCCACAACTACTGAGCCTGTGCTCTAGAGCCTGCGCGCCACAACTACTGAAGCCTGCGCGCCTAGAGCCCATGCTCCGCAACAAGAGAAGCCACCACAATGAGAAGCCCGTGCACCACAACGAAGAGTAGCCCCTGCTTGCCGCAACTAGAGAAAGCCTGCGTGCAGCAACGAAGACCCAATGTAGCCAAAAATATAAATAAATAAACTTATAAAAGAATTAAATAAAATAAAAGTTAAAATTAAAAAACAAAAAGCAAAGTTGCAAGATTAATACTACAAAAAGGAATGACCGCTTGCAGAGCAATAAACACCAATTTGTGTACAAAATACAGGATACAACATACTTTATAGGTGTAGTCCCAAGTATGCAAACATGCAGAGAAAGTTCTGGAAGTATACAAGTTAAGCTGTGACCCCAGCGAGGGGGTGTTTAAATGTTTCCGGATCACCTGAGTTTTTTACATTCCTTTGGTATATGCAAAATAAGTTAAAAACTATGAAACAAAGACCCCTGAGACCCTCTGACCTCCAGCCCAACGCTCCACTCCTAGTTCCCCATTATCAGGTGTCAAAATAGTTCCCCATTATCAGGTGTCAGGCCCACTCCTGGGCCTGAACCCCCAGCAAGTCCCTGCTAGGGAATCTGGACAGCTGTGGCTTGGTCACAACCAGCAACAGAGGCTTCACCGTTTGGGGTCAAGTTCTTCCCCTATAGGGGCTGAGACTCACACTTGGCCTAAGCTGTTCCCAGATGCCTCAAGGCTTCTGGGTGTCCACCCAGCCTGGGTCTGAGCTTTGGCCGCCCCCTCACTTGCCCACGCAGAAGTCTTGGAAGATGATATCCAGGATCTCCTCGGTGCCCCCTCCGCCGGTGATGCGGGTCAGGTGCCCTCGGGCGACCCGAAGTGCTTCGGCCGCCAGGGCTAAGTCTTTCGCCTGCTTGTAGTGGCCAAGGGCATCCAGGCAGCCCTGGAGGTGATGCTGGTGCCTCGCCCGTGTCAGAAGTGGTGGGCCTGTGGATGGGTCCCCACACCTGGAAGGGACAAAGGATGGGGTCTCTCTCAACATTCAAAGGGGTGAGGGATAATCATACCCATTTTTTAGATACAAAAACTGAGCTGGCAGGGTAGGTTCGTGCCCAAAGCCAGTGGCTCAGCCCCTGAACTTGAACAGAGGGAGGTTGCCCAGCGGGCAAGGGGGGCTCACAATGCAGCCAGCTCCTTCCTCAGCGCTTCCAGGAGGCCATCCAGCCCCTCGCCAGTCAGGCAGGACAGCAACAGGTAAGGGGGCAGGTCAGCACTGGGATCTGGGCCCCCAGCTGGCAGCAGGTCCGACTTATTCAGCACCAGCAGGAGGCGCTGGCTGCGCCCATTTGGGCTCCCGGCTCCCGCAGGGATGACAGCGGTGTCCAGGAAGTTGCAGCTGGACGGAGAGGCCAGGTCAGAAGCATCCAGCACGGCCAGGATGAGGTCAGCCTGCTCCAGCCTGGGGAAGCGGGAAAACGGAGCGTGGACCTCAGGGTTGAGCAATTAGGAGCACTGGGCAGGGGCAGGGGCAGGGGCAGGGGCCGAACTTAAAAAGCTGCCCTCCCCAGATAGCTGGGTCCCCACTTAATGGGGCTTAGTAGCCTTTCCTCATTAAGGAAGAATGAAAAATAAATGCAACCGGTTGAAACAGCAGAGGAAGGGCCCCGTTTCCCCCTCCCACCGCCCTGCCTGCCCACCTTTTTTGGGCGCGCCGCACGCCCTCCTGCTCCACAGGCCCCACGCCCTCCCGCAACCCCGCCGTGTCGCTCAGCAGCGCCGGGAACCCGGCCAGGTCCACGGGGGTCTCCAGCACATCTCGGGTGGTCCCGGGCTCCGGGGATACGATGGACACAGGCTTCCGGCCTGGGGGTGGGGTCAGAGGAAGGGGGAGGAATGGAGATGAGGGAGCCCCTCCCCCAAGGCTCCACCCACCCCCACCCCCGGGCTGGACCTTTTTCACTGCCTTGGCCTCTCCGGTTGCAGAGCACAGGCTCCGGACGCGCAGGCTCAGCGGCCATGGCTCACGGGCCCAGCCGCTCCGCGGCATGTGGCATCCTCCCGGACCGGGGCACGAACCCGCGTCACCTGCATCGGCCACTCTCAACCACTGCGCCACCAGGGAAGCCCCGGGCTGGACCTTCTCTTCGACCTCCCTGGCCCCTTCCCCATCCCTGAAAGCTCGGTAGCCACCCACCCCCACCCCGCCCGCTCCTAGCCCCCTGCCCTGGGCCCCGCCCCCTGACCACGCACTGAGCAGGTTCACTAGGCTGCTCTTGCCGGCGTTGGGAGGTCCCGCAACCACTACATGAGCCCCTGAGCGGAGCCTCTGTCCGCGCCTGGCATCTCGAAGATGTGCGCCCAGTGCCACCTCCAGCTCCCGCACTTCACTGTCAGCTGTGGATGGAGGAAAGGAGAGGGAGTAAGGAGGCCTCGGGGGGCTGAGATGCCAAATGTCCCCACCTCCCACCCCTCCAGGCAGGCAGACCCACCTCGATCCAGGATGCCCTCTTCCAGGTTGTCATCCTCACCAAAATCAATATAGGCCTCCACGTGGGCCAGAGCCTGAGGGAGGGAGGGGTGGATAGTGTGATCATACAGAAACCTACCCCTCAATATGCCCAGGTCCAGCCCGACATAAGGGGTCAGACTGGAGGCTTATAGACAGGAAGCGCTAATATAGGAGATGGTTAGGTAGGGTCTCTGAGGCAAGGTATGAGCGAAGGGTGTACTTGCCTTAGTGAGGGTCTCGGCCCAGCCGCGGCAGAGATGGCTCAGCTCCCCATCTAGCTGCCTCAGGGCCTGTCGCCGCTGTGCCTCTGTTTCTGCATGGATCAGATCCGCCAGCCCCTCCACCTCGGTCAGGCTCAGCTTCCCGTGAGCGAACGCCCTCCTGGTGAACTCGCCTGCCTCCGCAGGCCGCAGCCCTGGCACACTGCCTACGGGAAGGTCCAGGGTCCTGAGCCCCCCTGGCCCCTACCTAGGCCCACCGACATAGCCATACCTCAAACCCAAGGCTGCAGACTCACCCAGGGCCTGCAGGACACCACTCACCACAGCCGGGCCTCCATGCACGTGGAACTCCGCGCAATCCTCACCCGTGAAACTCTGGGGACCTAGTATGTTGAGGAGATAGGTGTCAGGAGGATACAGCCTGGGCAACGCCTGGAAGGAGGAAGCTGGGTCATCGGAGCTACATGCGGTTCTGGATCTGGAGCCCCTCACCCGGGAACCAAAGCACCAGCGCGCGGTCCAAAGGCTCCCCAGAGCGGGGGTCGCTGAGCAGGCGCAGGCAGGCTTTGCGGGCCGGGGGTAAGTCCCGGGGGGCCGTGAGGCTCCGGAGGGCCTGGCCGCTGGCGGGGCCGCTGGTTCGGATCACCGCGATGCCGCAGCGGCCTTGGCCGGAGCTCAGCGCGAAGACAGTGGCTCCGGAACCGGGGGCCGGGGCGCCACTGCCCTGGCGCGTGCACGGTCTGGGACTGGAGAGGAGGAGAGTCAGTCAGTGCATCTGAGAAGTTCTGCCGTCAGAGTGACAGGTGGATAGTGGGCTCGATGGTCGGGAGCTGACCCAAGTGGAAGTTCTGCGGCTGGGGGTTGGACAGACTGGAGGGTCTGAGGCCAGAAGATGACTGGATTGAGATCTCTGAGAGCAGAAGTTGACCCAGATGTGGGCTCTGCGGCAGGGGGATGGACAGATTGGGGCTTGGAAGAAGGGGAAAGGTGGTTCTGCCGCAGGGAACTGCGCCCCCAGATCCCAGGGAGAGGGTTTGGGGCCCAAGTAGCGCCCTACGCTGTCACACCCCTTCCCCAGGTCGCCCCACCTGCGAGGCCCACGTGCCGCCCGGGCTACCAGGGTCCACAGCCCCCGCCACATGGATTCGCAACCAGCGACACGCCTGCTCACCCAGCCCGGGAGTCTGCAAGTCCAGGCAGGAAGCCCCGCCCACTCCGCGGCACGACTGGTAAAGCGCTCAACGATTCTCGATTACCATTGGGCCCCTTAGAAGACGTACCGCCCACCCACTGAAGATCTTCGCTTCTACTGGCTGATGCCAGGGAAAGAGGCAGGGGGCTCGCACGCCGGGGTGCAGTGAAAGGGTGTTCCACCGGCAACATTAGACAGAATTTTTAGGATCCTAGAGCGGCCGGGATCCTAGACACCGGAAGTGAGAGGTGGAAGTAAGGACAGGGCTTGGCATAGAGCAGTGGGAATTATAGAGGCGAGTGTTTGAGTCGAAGCAAGAGCATCTCAGTGGCGGGAGTGATGAGTTCCGGGGGACCTACGCATTGGCTCTGGGAAAATCTTGTCAAAATTTCTGGGAAGACTTCTACTTGTTTCCTCGTAACTCTACAGTTTCTCGCCCCTCCCCATCTTTCCCTCCCGCCGAACCCTCGGCCTCGGATACCCTTCTTCATTTGACAAACTCTGCCTCAGTGCCTAGCTCCAAGGTCCCCCTCCGCCAGGAAACCTCCCAAGGACCCCCAGCACAGTCTTCTTTCCCTTCTGGGCTACTCTGGCCCAGGTCTGCTCCTGCAGAGTTGAGTGTCCGGTCTGTCTCTGGCTCCCCGGAAGCCAGAGAGGGGAGTCTCAAAGATTACTTTCAGGTTAACCCAGGACAGCGCCGGCTCGCGAAATAAAGCGCAGATGGTGGAATTCCAGGCACCAGATGGGCGGGGTCTCCGGGGGTGTTTTCTCGCGGCTAATTTTCTGGTTCTTGGACGGAGAGAGCGGGCAGCCCGCCTGTACTTCGGGAAGACGGGAACAGGACACAGTTCTAATGACCTCAGGCCTCGCCCTGCTCAGTTTTTTCATTTGTAAAAGACGGGCGAATGATGACATTCGCAGTCTCCGAGTTGTTCCATCTGTCAAAAGTATACATCAAACGCCTACCGTGTGACCACTAAGAATCAGTCTGGGTCCCTGCCCTCGCTGGCCTGTCAGCCTAACGGAGGAGGCTACACAGGATGGTCGGGGGTCCGGGTGACAGGCAAAATACAGGGCACCCAGTTAAATGTAGATTTCAGATAAACGAGGAGTAACGTTTTAGTATAACTATGTTCCATGCAATATTTGGGATATACTAAAAATTTATTCATTTATCTGAAATTCACATTTAACTAGGAGGACTGTATTTTTATTTGCTAAACTTGATAATTCTATCGGGTCCTCCCTGAGGACGTTACATCCTGAAGGGTGCAGGGGTTAACTGGACAAAGAGGGCGTGAAGAGTGACCTAGGTAGCTAAACAGCATGTGCTAAGGTCATAAGGCAGGACCTGCATCTCAGATTCCAAACCGATGGCGAAACTAAGGCTCCGAAGCGGAGAATCCAGGCCCGGGGCGGGCGGGGACCGGGAAGAGAACGCACGTTCGGTGCGGGCGGGAACGAGCACCAGAGAGCGAGGTGGGCGGGCAAGAACGAAACCCAGAAAACAACAAGGGCGGAGTCGAGAACCAGAGAAAGACGTGTCCGGGGCCGGGAAGGAGAATCGAGGTTCGGCGCGGGCGGGGACGAGAAGCAGCGCTCGGGCACGCGGGGACGGCAGCCGGCGCGGGCGGGCGCGGCCTTTGTCTCCTCCTCTGGCGCTCTCCGTGGCTGCACCCGCCCCATGAGCCCGCGGTCCCCCAGCGCCTGAGCCGCCCGCAGCCCCTGACCTGCCCTGCCCTCGCAATGGCCGAAACTGCCTCCGGCGCCGGGGGCACGTCCCTGGAGGGTGAGCGTGGCAAGAGGCCCCCGCCGGACGGCGAGCCTGCAGCCCCGGCGTCCGGAGTTCTGGGTATGTGTGCAGCGCCTGGATCTGACAGAGTGGCAGGTGCCTGGGGTGTTCGCGGCGGCTGTACGGGGAGGGGATTGGAGTCAGCGGTCCCGGTCTGGAGTCCAGTCGAGGGGCCAGCTCCTCCGGCACAGCGCCTGCGGCCGGGCGGGCGCGGCTGGGACGGTGCTGCGGGTGGGGGCTCCCAGCGCAGAGACACCGACACGCCCCTCCTAGAACCCCAGCCCGGGGCTGAGCCCAGTCACCCCTTGGGCTACCGGATCGCTGCCGAGCAGTGATGCGCTTGAGAGAGCCTCTCCACAGAGGCTACAGAATCGTACAGTCCTGGGTTCGAATCCCTGCTCGACTGTGTGACCTTGGGCGCGTGACTTAAATGCTCTGGGCCTCAGTTTCCTCGCCTGTGAAATGGGGGTAAGAACCGCGCCCAGCTATGAGGACGCACTGACATAATGTGGTGAGGCGCTCAGATCTGCTAGTGAGCGCCCCATCGATTGTGGTTTTGGAGGCGGAGCTGGGCCTCGAGAATGAGTAAGATTTGTAACGGAGGACCTGGGGGAAGGGCATTCCTGGAGAAGGGCCTGGCTGGTGCAAGGACGTGGAGGGAAGGAAACAACCCAAGGCCAGAACTCGCAGGGCCTTGAATGCCAAGCTGAGAGCCGAGGAGCCCTGGCAAGTGTGTGATCGGGGGCAAGGGCTGGAGGGACCAAGACTGGAGGCCAGGGTTCTGATCCGGGAATGGCCTGACCCCAGCCTGCCCTGCCTGCTCCCCAGATAAGCTTTTTGGGAAGCGGCTCCTGCAGGTGGGTCGGTACCTGGTGTCCCACAAGGCATGGATGAAGACGGTGCCCACGGAGAACTGCGACGTGTTGATGACCTTCCCAGGTACCTGTGTCCATCCCCCCAGGGTCCAGAGTGAGCTCCCTTGAGCTGGGCTCCCCTGAGTAGGAGTCTGCAGGAGGCCTTAGACCACCCATGGCAAGGGCTATCGGTCCCTGTGCCCCTTGGCAGACACGACCGATGACCACACGCTGCTATGGCTGCTGAACCACATCCGCGTGGGCATCCCCGAGCTCATCGTGCAAGTCCGCCACCATCGCCACACGCGTGCCTACGCCTTCTTCGTCACCGCCACGTATGAGAGGCGAGTCCCTGTCCCTGGCCTCTCGCTGACCCTGCCACTCAGCTCCCCGCCCTTCCATGCACCAACTGCGAGGTCCAGCCACCCCGCATTTGTCCCTGACGGCCACCAGGTACACCATCCCTAGTTCCAGGATGGTGAGCCAGGGTCTCCCCTTGATCCCACCTCCCCTGCCCTTCCTGCAGCCTACTCAGAGGGGCCGACGAGCTGGGCCTGCGCAAAGCAGTGAAGACTGAGTTTGGCGGGGGCACCCGCGGCTTCTCCTGCGAGGAGGACTTCATCTACGAGAATGTGGAGAGTGAGCTGCGCTTCTTCACCTCCCAGGTGCGGCCGGCTCTGGCCCCCAGCGCACATTCTTAGCCCGTGGGCGGCTGCTCCCTGTGCTCACGCCCTGTCCCCTGCAGGAGCGCCAGAGCATCATCCGCTTCTGGCTGCAGAACCTCCGTGCCAAGCAGGGAGAGGCACTGCACAATGTGCGCTTTCTGGAGGACCAGCCAATCAGTGAGTGAGGCGGTCCCAACCTTCCAATCATATGTGGGGAGTTGGCTGGGGCTCTTAGAGGACAGCTATCAAAGTAGGAGGGTTAGGAAGGTGAGGCCTAGATGCAACCAATCAGGGGCTACTGAAGAGTTGGGCGGGGCCTGGAGATCAATCAATGAGCTGAAGGGGCGTGGCCTCAGCAAAGGGGTGGGGCTTGTCCCCTCGGAGGCAGGTCCGGGAGAAATCCTTCTCTGGGTCTGGGATAAGGTAGGGGCAGGACCATGGACAGCACTCCGCGTACTGTGTGGTGCAGCCCTGGGCCTCAGTTTCCCCTCCAGGAAACGAGCCGCTGCAAGTTCACCTTCTAATGCCAGCTTTGCACCATTCCTCAGACATTTGGAGCAATGAGCTGAGGCCAAATAGCTCTATTTAAAAAAGTGGTTCAGGGCTTCCCTGGTGGCGCAGTGGTTGAGAGTCCGCCTGCCGATGCAGGGCACACGGGTGCGTGCCCCGGTCCGGGAAGATCCCACATGCCGCGGAGCAGCTAGGCCCGTGAGCCATGGCCTCTGAGCCTGCGCGTCCGGAGCCTGTGCTCCGCAACGGGAGAGGCCACAACAGTGAGAGGCCCGCATACCGCAAAAAAAAAAAAAAAAAGTGGTTCAGGGAAATTCCCTGGTGGTCCAGTGGTTAGGACTCCACACTTCCACTGCAGGGAGCCCGGGTTCGATCCCTGGTCGGGGAACTAAGATCCCGCAAGCCGTGCGGTGTGGCCAAAAAAAAAAAAAAAAAGTGATTCCCCACTGGGCCCCCACCTTCTCAGGTTTCCTGCACCCTTCCCCTCCTTCCCCTGCACCTCCCAAATTTTGAGGAAGAACCGGATATTCCTTCCACCAAGAACTCCTCTCCTGGGAAGAGCCTCTGCGAGTTTAAGAGCAGGCAAAAAGCTATGACTTGGGTTTCAGCCGAGGGGGGCTGGCCAGGCCCAGCACAGGCAGAAGGGTTCTTGTCCCCCAACAGTCCCTGAACTGGCGGCCCGCGGGATCATCCAGCAGGTGTTCCCAGTCCACGAGCAGCGCATCCTGAACCGCCTCATGAAGTCATGGGTGCAGGCTGTGTGTGAAAACCAGCCTCTAGGTGTGGTCCGGCCAGGGGGAGGGGGTGGGGGTGGGGTCCCAGGAGACAGTCAGGGCTGACTGGGACACCCCTGTCCCTGGCAGATGAGATCTGCGACTACTTTGGCGTGAAGATTGCCATGTACTTCGCCTGGCTGGGTTTCTACACATCGGCGATGGTGTACCCGGCGGTCTTCGGCTCTGTCCTGTACACATTCACAGAGGCTGATCAGGTGCCGGGTGTGGACTGCACAGGGGCTGGGACACCCAAGACACCTTCCTCCCTGGACTGGGCCAGCCAACATTTCAGCCCTCCTCTGCCACCCCCAGACAAGCCGGGATGTATCCTGCGTGGTCTTTGCCCTCTTCAACGTGGTCTGGTCAACGCTCTTCTTGGAGGAGTGGAAACGGAGGGGAGCAGAGCTGGCCTACAAGTGGGGGACGCTGGACTCACCCGGGGAAGCTGTGGAGGAGCCACGGCCCCAGTTCAGGGTCAGTCAGGGGGGATCTGAGTTCAGGGACTTTGAGAATGGGGTTAAAAAAAAAGAAAAAACACACTGGGCGAGGAGCATTGCAAGAACAAAGGGAGGGGTGAAGTAGGGCTGCAGCGTCCGAGATGGTATGCCAAGTGGGGGACTCTCCATGCCCAAAGGGAGAGGGGTGGGAAATTGGCTTTGAGGGGCTGGGAAGGGTGCATTAGGCGGGGGTACCGCAGTAGCAGAGCATGACAAAGAGACACTGAGGTCGAAGGGTCGGGAAGGGTGCAGGCCAGAGGCAGCCCCTCTGATCTCACGTTGGGCCGGGCCTCCACCCTCTGCCAGGGCGTGCGGCGCATCAGCCCCGTGACTCGGGCCGAGGAGTTCTACTACCCGCCCTGGAAGCGGCTGCTTTTCCAGCTGCTTGTGAGTCTCCCCTTGTGCCTCACCTGCCTGGCCTGTGTGTTCCTGCTCATGCTCGGCTGCTTCCAGCTGCAGGTGACCTCCAGCCCCTAGCCCTGGCCTTGGCCCCGACCTGGCGGCCACCTGTCCAGGTGTGCTGTGAGCTGAGCCCAGCTGCCGGGGTGACCTGTGAACGCCCTGCCCCTGCAGGAGCTGGTGCTGAGTGTGAAGGGGCTGCCCCGTCTCGCCCGCTTCCTGCCCAAAGTCATGCTGGCCCTGCTGGTCAGTGCAAGCGCCGAGGGCTACAAGAAGCTGGCCGTCTGGCTCAATGACATGGGTATGCCCTGCAAGGGGAGGTCCCACTGCCCACCCCCCAGGAGGAAGGGCCCCTCCTCCCTGCGGGGTGTGCCTGCCGCCCATGACGGTCTGGGCCACCCCCTCACTCTCCTCCTTGGCCCCCAGAGAACTACCGGCTGGAGAGCGCCTATGAGAAACACCTCATCATCAAGGTTGTCCTGGTGAGTGGTGGCCAGCAGGCAGGCAGGGGTTCTGCAGGGGATACACGGGAGCTCCTGGGGACAGAGGTGGCAGGGTGACCACCCACCTGCCTGCTTCCCACAGTTCCAATTCGTCAACTCATACCTGAGCCTCTTCTACATTGGCTTCTACCTCAAGGACATGGAGCGCCTGAAAGAGGTAAGACCCCGGCCTGAAGCAGTGCCCCCCATGGCAGCCAGTGGGGGGGCCAGACCTGGCCCAACGGGTCCATGGGCTCTCCAGCCCCTCCCCCCCTCCTCCATCCTTCTCTCCTCTCTGTCCGTCTGTGTGTCCTCTCTCTACCTGTCGCCCCCCCATCTGTATGTCCACCTGTCCGTCGGTCCCTCCACAGCTCCTGATCGTCCTGTCCCTGTCCCAGAGCCTCGAGCGGCAGCTTTGGGCGGTGCTGGTCCCGCTCGCGGCCCTGCGGTTCTGCCTTCTCCTCCTCTCCCTCCGGGGCCTCCTGCTCATGGCCCGGGCCAAAGTACTGGCAGGTGGCGAGCCCTCGGGGCTTCGCCAGGGTGGGCAATGTGGCTATGCTGGGGGCCTCACACCAAGCCGAGGGTGCATGCTCTGAGGGGATGGGCTTCCGCTGACGGGGTGCAGGTGGCAGGAGCCCCCGGAGGCCCTGGCCACCAGCTGAGTGAGCTCCTGGGCGGTGCTGCAAGCAGGGAAGCCATGGCCTGCCCAGGAGATTGGCTAGGAGCGCTGTGACCTGCCCAGCTGCGATTTGGGGTTGCCTCCGTGTCCAGGGACATCCAAATTGGGTTCAGGGTGTGTCTGGAAGCGTGTTTCGGGAGGGCGGGTGCCCAGTCCCTGCAGCCTGTCCCGGTGCCCAGAGCCCCGCCCGCCCCCCACGTGGCCTTTCTCCACCCCCTTCCTGCCCCCAGATGCTGGCCACTCTGCTGATCACCCGCCAGTTCCTCCAGAATGTTCGAGAGGTCTTGCAGCCGCACCTGTACCGGCGGCTGGGCCGTGGCGAGATTGGCCTGCGGGCTGCCTGGGAGCTGGCCCGTGCCCTGCTTGGCCTACTGAGCCTCCGGCGCCCTGCACGCCACCTCGAAGCCCAGGCTGAAGAGGGTGTCGGTGGCAGCAGCGGTGGGGGGGGCCGCAGGTGTCTCAGTGGGGCCTGCGGGGCACCTGAGGAGGAGGAGGAGGCCACCATGGAGCGTCGGCCAGCGGGGGAAGGTGGGGAGGTAGGGGACGGGCCTCGGGGGGGCAGGGAGGAGGAGGAGGACGAGGAGGAGGAGGAGGACGAAGAGGAGGAAGACGAGGAGGAGGAAGGCGAGGAGGGCGGCCTCCTGGACTGCGGGCTTCGGCTGAAGAAGGTCAGCTTTGCTGAGCGGGGGGCTGGGCGGCGGCGGCTGGGCCCAAGCCCGGAGGCCCTCCTGGAGGAGGGGAGCCCCACCATGGTGGAGAAGGGGCTGGAAGCTGGCGTGTTCACGCTGGCCGAGGAGGACGATGAGGCCGAGGGGGCTCCCAGCAGCCCTGAACGGGAGCCCCCGGCTGTCCTGCTCCGCCGGGCCAGAGGTGAGGGCCGCGACCAGGGCCCCGATGGGGGCCCAGACCCAGAGCCGGGCTTGGGTGACTCAGCCCGGAAGCAGCGGCGGCAGAACCGGTCATCTTGGATCGACCCACCCGAGGAGGAACACTCAGCCCAGCTCACCCAGGCTGAGCTCGAGAGCTGTATGAAGAAATACGAGGTGAGGAGGGCGCCTGAGGGCAGGGGCCGGGCCCTCCGAGGGGCGCAGCGCAGTGAGGTGGAGGGCCTGGGGGTGATGGGAGGGAATAACGAGACCCTTCATGTGGTCAGGAACCTGCCCGAGGGGGAGCTCTGGGTCCATGCAGAATAATCTGGGGGGTGGGCTTGAGGAGAGGAAGGTGGTCTGAGGGAGGAGGTGTCCTGGGCGGAGGGAGAGCCCTAGGCCCCACCCAGGTGCCCGCCCACAGGACACGTTCCAGGACTACCAGGAGATGTTTGTGCAGTTTGGCTACGTCGTGCTCTTCTCGTCTGCCTTCCCCCTGGCTGCCCTCTGCGCCCTCATCAACAACCTCATCGAGATCCGCAGTGACGCCCTCAAGCTGTGCACGGGGCTGCAGCGGCCCTTTGGGCAGCGGGTGGAGAGCATTGGCCAGTGGCAGGTGGGGGGAGGGCTGAGGGCCCCGAGCCGGGGTGCACCAAGGAGGAGCGGGTGCTGGGGAGGGTGGCTGCGCACCCCCTGAGCCCGCCTGTCCCCCTGCAGAAGGTGATGGAGGTCATGGGCGTCCTGGCAATCGTAGTCAACTGCTATCTAATTGGCCAGTGTGGGCAGCTGCAGCGCCTCTTCCCCTGGCTCAGCCCCGAGGCGGCCATCGTGTCCGTGGTGGTGCTTGAGGTGGGGCTGGCGGCCGGGTTGGGGGAGCCAGGCGGCGGGTGGGTGTCCCCGTGCCTACAGCCTCCTCCTCTGTCACCTCAGCACTTCGCTCTGCTTCTCAAGTACCTCATCCACGTGGCCATCCCCGACATCCCGGGCTGGGTGGCTGAGGAGATGGCCAAGCTGGAGTACCAGCGCCGGGAGGCCTTCAAGGTATGTGGGCTGGGGTGAGTGCGCTTTACGTCTCTGCTCCGTGGGGCTTCTCCACCTAGCCTGGCTGGCCGTCCAGTCCTTAGCAGGAGGGTGGGTGTTAAGAGCCTGGTGTAATAATTAGCATTCCAAAGGGGCCCGGTCCCCTCTGGGATCCTGGTGGCATCCAGCACCAGGTTGGCACTCACGAACTGTCATCCACCAGCTTGCCCAGCATTGCCCTGTTGGGGGCCAGAGACACAGCTGACGCTTCCTAGAAGCCCAAGCCTCTGCCGCATTCCTCAGAAAGCTGCAGAGAAGGCCAGGGAGCTCACTGGCGCCAACCGATGGAGCTCTCCACGATGATGGAAACGTTCTATATCCGTGCTGCCGATGTAGCCCCTCACTACAGATGACCAACGAGCACTTGAAACGGGGCTGGTGCCACTGAGAAACAGACTTTTTCTTTGCAGTTATTTAAATTGACAAAGCCGTGTGTGGCTACCGGCCACTGGATGGGGCAGTCACAGCTCTGTGTCTCACCAGTTCTCCAGAAAGCAGGGAACCACTGAGGCCCAATATTTGTTTACACTCTCCCAATTCCTAAGACGGTGTCTGGCAGGGGATCAGGGACAGAGGCGGTGGCCAGTAAATGTTCGTTCTCTTTTCAGGCCTCAGAAAGCACCGGCATGGGTCCAGGGATGCAGTTGGTGCCCCATAAGTGTTTAGATCTCTCCCCACTTCTGCAGAGAGCCCCAGGGTGGGTCCAGGGATGCAGCTGGTACCCAAGAAGCGTTCGGATCTCTCCCAACTTCCGCAGGAGAGCGCCGGCATGGGCCCGGGCCTGGTTTGGTGCCTGCTCGCCCGCCTGCTCTTCCCAGTGTCCCCATAATGGCCCCGTTCTGCCCACAGAGACATGAGCGCCAGGCCCAGCACCGCTACCAGCAGCAGCAGCGGCGGAGGCGAGAGGAGGAGGAACGCCAGCGCCACGCAGAACATCATGCCCGCAGGGAGCGCGACGCCAGTGGCCGGGAGGAAGCTCGGGCTGAGGGCTCCGGGTTGGACCCTGCTGCCCCAGAGAAGGCCTCGGCCAAGGCCAAGGGCAGTGGGGCAGCAGGAGGCCATGGGCCGGAGCGGCCCAAGCGCCCGGGGTCCCTGCTGGCACCTAACAACGTCATGAAGCTGAAGCAGATCATCCCACTGCAGGGCAAGTTCCTGTCGTCCGGGGCTGCATCCTCGCTGGCCGGCGCGGGGGCCAACCTCACTGCCCGGCCGCCCCCTGCCCCGTCTCCCACAGGCAGTGACACCCGCCTGCCGGCCTTCCTCAGCTTCAAATTCCTCAAGTCACCCGAGACCCGGCGGGACCCAGAACGTAGCCACTCGCCGCCCAAGGCCTTCCACGCCAGCAAGCTCTTCCCCTTCGGCGGGGCCCGGGCTGAGGCCGGGTCCAACGGGGCGGGCGGGCAGGCCCGGCAGGACGGGACCCCCAGCGGTGGCAGTGGTGGTAGCCGAGCCCAGCGGAGTGGGCCGGCAGACGAGGCCGCAGCTGAGGAGCCGGACACACCCCGGCCCGAAGAGGAAGGCTCAGGTCACAAGCTTTAACTCGGGGGTGGGGACTCTGGGCCGGGCTTTGGGGATAGGGGCGGGGTGTCCAGGCCTGGGGAGAGGGGCTGAAGGGGACAGAGGAGGCCCAGTCTCCCGGTACCGGTTGGGGACCTGGGTATGTGGTACATGGAGCCTCTTGATCAAAGCCTACCCAGTCTTTCCGGGACCCCAGAGAGCCTGGAGCCCTGTGCCTGACCCTCCTCACCCCTGGGGAGGGATGCCAAAGCCCCTCGTCCCAGTGCCCCTCGCACGGCCTGCCATGCTCCAGTGCCAGGAGAGATGAGGGAGGCCCCTTCACCACCTGGTCCTGCCTCTCCTGCCCCCATGAGACCCTACACCCAGCTCACTCTGGGGGCACTGGACCCCCAGGCCTCTATGCAAGTCCCCACCCTGCAGCCCAGCTGTTCGAGGTGGCCTTTCTGGGAGGTGGAGCTCAGGCTGCCCACCCAGGGAGTTCAGGGCTGCAGCCACAGTGAGCCACACAGGCCTCACTGCCGCCCCTCCCACCCCGTCCCAGCCCGGAGTCCAGCAGCCCATCCCAGAGAGCCCAAGAGGTGGCAGCTGTAGCACCAGGGATATAGGTCAGAAGTCAGAGGGACTTCCTCAGACCGTCCTCTCTCCGTGACGGGGAGGGGCCCAGTGCCCAGAGGCGGGGGATGCACCCGAAGAAGCCCACCCCTTGTCACTGATCAGAAGCAATAAGGCCCTCCATGTGCCTGAAAGCCCGGAGGGAGCGCGGGCAGGCCGGCATCTCCCCGGAACGGCCCCTCTCGCCTCCGCAGGGACAGCGCCGGCCCCGGTGGGCGCCCCAGCCCTCCGCACCCGCCGCAGCCGGAGCCCTGCGCCGCCGCCGCCGCCGCCGCCGCCGCCGCCGCCAACACCGCTGCCCCGGCCCCCGACGCCACCCGCCGGCTGCTGGCAGTGGGACGGGCCGTGGGGCTGCGGGGGCGAGGGCGCCGCCCCCCGCCAGGCCCCTGCCGCCGCCGCCGCCGAGTGTCCGCCCTGCGTCCTCGCCGGGTCCCTGCCCGCCCCGGCAGCTGGCGTCCTGCCGGGGGACGCCAGCTTCTACAGCCTCCCACCGCCGCCGCTGCCTCCCACCTCCGAGCCCCCGGAGCCCCCGGCACCGTCGCCCAGCCCCAGCTCCAGTCCCAGTCCCAGTCCCCAGGCCGTGTGCTGGCCCAGCGGCTGGCATTAGCTCCGCCCGCCCTGCCTTCCTGTTTTCATATGCAATATCAATCACGGACGGGGCGGCAGCCGCCACCCAGAAAACGCTGCTGTCGGTGTATCCCAGTATTGGTTGCCCCCTCCTGGGTCAGGGCTGGGGGCCTGGGGCCCCTCTATCTGCCGTTTTCCTTTTGACCAGGATGGGGGGAAAGGAAAGGAAACCCCCCCAAAACAACAGAAAACACACACAGAATAGGCGATTATTTATTTGTTTTTAATTTATTTTGTCATATTTTTGTAAAACGGCAGAAATGCAATAAAAAGTATATTTCAACAGTGCCGAAGGGCGGAGCTGTGGAAAAGGGACGTAAGGGGCCCTGACGAGGTTGGGGGCAGCTCTTTGGGGGCCTGGCAGGCCTAGGGTGGGTCCCCCCCCGTCTATGACCCTTAGGGAACTCCTCCAAAGAACTGGGTCTCCAGGCCATGGCTGGAAAACTCCAAAAATCCAGGCCCAGGGGCCCCTGGGAGGAGCTGCAGAGCCTCAGGCCCCATCTTCGGTCTCCTAGACTAAGAAAGAAATCTCAAAGTACTGATAGGACTCAGCAGTGTGGGCCCTGGGCCTGGGTCCTGAGTCAGCCTCAGTCGTGCAGGGCTACCCTTTCTGGCACACCCGCCTCCCAGGCTGCCATCTGAGGAGTCAAGGGCTGCGGGGAGAACTTGGGTGTGGAAGTCAGAAGGCACCTGGTGCCTAAGTCTCGATGTTGAGGGGATGGCATGTTGGGGTGTGGCTTCTGGGAAGGGCCGGGATGCCCCACTGTGGGACGGCTGTCAGACCCTATTCGCTGGGACTCTTCACTGTGATCAGGGATGGACATGGCCTCTCCCACCCTCAGGTGTGTCCACATACAAAGGCTCAGGGCCCAACGGGCCCCACCCCAGGCAGGGCTGGGGGAGCCAGTGTGAGGAAGGGGCACTTGCGGGGGGCCCATGAAAGAGAAATCAGGGTTCACTGGAGGCAGGAGAGCAGCCTGTGCAAAGGCACAGAGGTGTGGGAAGGCAGGGTTTGGTGTTTGGGGGAACAGAGTAAGAGTAAAGGCAAGAGGGGTGGGTGGAGGCTGGCTGAGGGGCCTGTGCTGGGGAGACCACGGGACCCCTGCCCACACCGTGGACAGCACTGGCAGGAGACAGAACCCAGCCCCTCAAAGGGGAACCTGGGGCCAGGGAGGTGTGGGCAAGCCTCGGGGAAGGACAGGCTGAAGCCTGCGCCTGCCCTGCCCCACGGCCTCTGAAGCTGAAGTCCTGCCATCTACTCTGCCACCAACAAACGGCGACACCGCGCGCCTGCCCAGGGTCAGGCCAACCCCTGGGACTGGGGATTCCAAGCTGGTCTGAGAACCCCCAGGGACTTAGCCCTCCCCAGCACGACCACAGTCAAGCTTGCATTTCCTAAGCACCTGCCTTACGACCACAGGAACTGAACACCGCTGCACATGCGCCCAGAGCTGGGCCCCACAGCTGGGCAGCTAATCCAGGAGCCTTCCACCCAGCAGACACGGGGCAGCTCAGGCCGGAGCAGTCTGCCTCAGGCTGGGCCCTCCACGGTGACAACCTGGGGCAGGCGCCCCCTGCAGCCCCTGTGTCCCTCACGCACGCTGCAGCCCAACCCTTCACCGCCCCCAACACCCCAGCCATCAGCTCCAGCACTCTGGCTCCCACTCAGGGCTGGCGGGGGAAGCAGCGGCATTCCCCTGGCCCTGTGCCCAGTGGTCAGGAACTCAAACCTTCTGCCTGGAGCCCAAATGCCCCCCTACGTCCCCGGGCTCAGCCCCAAGCCCAGTCCAGCTGGCTCCCGGGAATAGCCGTGGAACCTGCCGACTGAGGGCACTGGGGCTGGGCATCCCGCGGCGCTCCACGTGCCTCCTCTCTGAGGGCGTGAGGCCGGGCCACCTGGGCTGTCTCCACAGAGGCTGGTGGGCGTGCCGCCCTGCTCGCCAGTGTCATGGGCGTGGGGCCCACCACAGCTCCATCCTTGGCAGCACGGACCGTCTCTCTGGGGTGTCCCAGTCCTCAAGGACACCTTGACGGCTGGGGTAGAGGGGGGTCCAGGCAGGTCTTGGCTCTGATCGAGATGGCCGCAGCAGGCCCACGAGAGAATCCAGCTGGTCCTGGGGCCCCACCGTCTGGGGGCCCCTTCCGGCTCCTCTTGGTGATGATGGGACGACTCTCAGTGGCTCCATCGTCTGGGGCTGAGGCACGCCGAGCAAAGACGCGAGGTCGGGTAGGAAAGATCCTTTTATTGGGGTGGACATGGAGCACGCACTAGTCCATGATAAAATGACTTAAGAGAAAGATCCGGAAGGGCTGACTTCTCCCCCTTACGCATGCTCAGAGCAAGGTCTGGGCACAGAATAGGTCCCGGTGGAACTCGAGACAAGGCAAGTCTTTAAGGCCCGAACCAGCCGGTGGGAGCCGGGAGAAGGGCCCCCACCCCTGCCGGCCGGCTGCAGCAGGGGCCTGGCTCTAGACCCTCTCAGACACGCTCCAGTTTTCCAGAGGAGAACTGGGGGGCGAGAGGTGGGGGAATTGGAGGGGGGGAGGTGAGTAACAATTGTTGTTTTTAAAAGCATCTACCAACATCACACTACTGGGTCTGACGTCCCCTTTAACCATCGCTTGGTACATTTTACAGCATAAATAAAAACTCAAGGAAAATAAATACATCGGCTCCTATGAGGTTGGAAGTGGTGTGGATGGTGGGGCGTGGGTGGGCCGGCGGAGGGGTTGGGGGGCAGGGCGCTTACACAAGGTGGGAAGGCGAGGAGCAGACAAGACAGGAGGCGCCTGTGGGGGAGTGTGAGTCTTAAGTGTCCTCGTGCATGTCCGGGCTGTCGGTCCGTGCGACCTTGCGGGGGGGCGCCGAGCTCTCACCCTCGAGGTCCACTTGCTCCTGGTCTCTCTTCTTGGCGGCATTCTGGGGGGCAGGGGAAGCAGAGGGGTTGTGAGTCTTCATGCTGGGGGAGCTCCTGAAATCTGAGGCTGGCCCTGCGGCCCCAGCACATCACAGAGCCGGGTAGTCGACCTAGGGCCCGTGGCTAGCCCCTTCTGCCCCCTGGACCTGCCCCACCAAGCCATGGTCCCCTGGGGACACCAGCCTGTGACAAGCACTTCAAGGAGTCACCACAACTCTCAATGACCCCCACACAGCATTTCTCAGACACTCAGAGAAGCCATCCACCCTGCCGGAGGGCAAAGGGCACTCGTGAGCCACCCGGGGAAGCCCCCAAATTGCCACAGAAAAGGAAAGCATGCTGATTTGGGAAAACCTCCTTTCCTCACTGGTGAGAATCAAGGCTTGTGGGGCTGGGGTGGCCAGGAGCTGGGGTTTTCTGAGCAGTCACTTCATCATTGGGTCCCCCTCCAACCTGGCCCAGAGCAGGTCACTGTCCAATGTTCACCATTATGGGGAAAAAACAATCTGACCACACGGCAAAACTACACGTGCAGATTTTCAAGAAAGAAAAAGAAAAAATATCCTGTCAGAAAGGTGGCCTCTTATGGGAAGGACGGGGGTGACGACTTTTCACAGCAGCTACGCATCCTAGTAGGGCCTGGATTTTTAATCGTGTGTACTTTTCATCATTGAACAAAGACTCCAAGTAACAACAATGAAGTCTATCTGCCACCAGGGCCGTGCTCCCCACAAATTGTGGGGAGATGGGCTTCAGTACAGCTTACCTGCCTGTCCCTGAGCACTAGAGCCCTGTGGCCTCTGCACAGCCATTCCTCTAGAGCATTCTTCCTTCTCCTGAATCACCTAGCAAACGCCTATTCAGCCCTCAAGGCCCCACTCGAACACCCAGTCTCCCAGCCGCCGGTGTCCTTCCGCTTCTCAGAGCCTCCTGCTGGGCACTGTGTTCCTTCCCCGAGTCCCAGCACTCGAACCCCACGTGCCTTACCTTTTTGTCCCATTGCTGATGTAAGTAGCGCAAAAGAATGTTTGTTTTTTCTGTCACAATAACTGAGAAGGAAAGACAGATAAAGTTGCAGGAAGAAGCTGTGGGGAGCCGGCTGCAGGCGGCCCAGCCCCCATCCCAGCCTGCACTGCCCTCCCACGACGAGCTTACCCCTTCCTGGCCTCTGGGCTGTCCCTGCCCTGGGTGGCCTTTGTGTGACTCAAGTCACCACCCCCAACCCTGGAGGAGATTTCAGGAAGCCAAGCATTCTCCCTCCTGAGCACAGGCCACTACCATGAGCCCAAGCTGGCTGCCCTGACAGGGTCCCTGCTTCCTAAGCTGAGCTCGGATTCCACCCTCGGGCGGGGGAATGAGCCCCGGCATGCCAGGTCACGTGGGTGTTTCCCCAGACAGACCAGGAGCACAGATCCACATGCTGTGCCCCGGTGACCACAGAACGCACCCAGCAGAGTCCAGGATTTTTTCATGGTTGAAAGAAAACACCGTGACTACAATAAATAACCTTGAGGTCCCCCTGCTCTGAAGGCTCCAGGGCTTTCCCTGCAGGTCCCTCTGCCTAGCCACCCCCTCCCCAAGCTGCCCACCCCAGCCTGGGCTGGGTCCCCCATCCTTTGGTATGAGTCTCAAGACCTGTGACAGGGAGCCAGCAGGGGAGGCCTGACTTGATGCAGGGGTGGGGGTGAGGGCCAGCAAGCGGCAGACGAGGGCCAGCTTGGGACCCTGCAGGGCTGGACGTGGATGCCGGCGTGGACATCAGGAGGGTCCCAGGGAAAGCCAGGCTTCCCGCTGCTCCCAAGGGCTGGGAGCTGCCCAGCTTCCCACAGGTCACCTCCTGCACTACCCTCTGGCCCTTCCCCTCGGCAGCCGGGATGAGACAGAACAACAAAGGCCACTTACTCTGTTCGGACGGGTACTCCCGAGTGGGCAGGTAGACTGAGGGACGTCGGTTCTGTGGGAGGGTTGGGAAGGCGTGGGTTAGGAGAGTAGACAGGTCTGGGGTCCCCTCACCCCTCAACTCAGCACCCGCCCTCCAATGCAGATCAAAAGACGTGCGAGGATTTCAAGTGGGGCTGGGTTTGAAGCTCGGCCCCTCTTTCTGGCAAGACCCCGACCTGGGGGCTGCACACCACCCCCGGCCCTTTCCCCGAGGGCAGCTCATGGTCCACGTACTCACCGAGGCTTTGCACACAGAGTCGGCATGAAATCGACTAAAATTGCTTTTGTTGTAGACAGGCAGTCCTTTCAAAAAATCTGCCTAGAAGACAGGGAAGATGGTAAGTGAGAAATCAGGCAGCAGGCTGGGCCACCCCCGGAGCACCTGTGACCGGGTGGGCTACCTACCGGGTGACTTCCGGTTTCCTTCTTTCTGTTCTGTCATTCAAGTTTTCTAGAACTCACCCTTGAGCTGGCCACCTGATGTGTCCACTCTTATGACCAGAACAAAGTAACCAACCCCAGAGTAAGGGTATGATCTCCCACAGGGTCCTCACAATAAACCTGTCACCAGGCCAAGGAGCAGGGAAACTGAGGCTCAAACAGGACAGGACACTTGCATCAAGTCAGGAGCAAGCAGCGGGGTGGGGAGCCGGACCCGGGCCCATCCAACTGCAGACCTGTCCTCTGTGCTAGCTGAATACTGAACTCATGGTCTCACCTCCATTTATGCACCTTTGATAGAGCCTGGGATGGAGACTTGTCCACCCTAAGAAACCCTGAGGGTCCATGTGACAATACATGGGGGTGGGGGAGCAGGAGGCTGGGTGAAGGGGAAACGGCAGCTGGGACACAGGGGCTGCTGGGACACAGGACCCGAAGCCTGGGGTCAACCGAGCTTCCGAATCCTGAGAAAACTCAGAAACCCAAGTTTCAGTGTCAGTGCCAGCTTTTTTCTTTTTTGTTTTTGGCTGCGTCACGTGGCATGTAGGATCTTAGTTCCCCAACCACGGATCGAACCCGTGTCCCCTGCATTGGAAGTGCAGGGTCTTAACCACTGGCCCGCCAGGGAAGTTCCAGTGCCAGCCTTTTAAAACTGGCTGAGCTTTGCAGCAAACGCTGTGTGGACCAGGGCTGGCTCGAGGGCTGCTCCTGGGGTCCCCACATCCAAAGGCTGCCCTGTAAGGGGAGAATGCCTCCCACTGGGGGGAGGGCCAGAAGCCTAAAGGAAGCAGGCTGGCTCCTCCCTGGCCCCGGTGCCTGGGGCAGGGGTTCAGGCACCAGAGGTTTCAGGCCCCCAAGGTGCCAGGGAGCCAGCGACAGATTCATTCACAGCTCTGACTCTTGGAAAGTCCTTTTTCTCTGACGCTCTGGCACCAACTGGGCAAGGAAGGGAGAAAGCTCTGGAAGGGGAAGACCCTGACTCTGGGTGGAGGGCAGGTCTCTGCCACAAGATGGGGGTGAATAAAGGCCAAGGGCAGCTGTGTCTGCCTCAGGAAACTGAGGCACAAGAGCCCCGGAGAGGGATGAAGGCTGAGAACTTGGGGCAGGGAGTGACTTCCCAGCAGAGCAGGAGGGCAATGCTGTCGTCAGGCCTGGAGAGGGAGAGCTGGGGAGGACCAGGGGTTTCCCAAGCTGGAGTCACCCCATCGTACAGACGAGGAAACTGAGGCAAAAAGGTCATGTAACACTCATCTGAGGTCCCCCAGCCCCAACGAGAAAACAAGGAAGCTGACTGAGCCCTGGTTTGCCTAACCTCAGAGGCCAAGCTCCTGTTCTGTGATGCCAGTGCCTCTGCTTCCCGCCTGAGAGCCGAGGGCTCAGAGCCTGCAGGCTACGTGAACCCTCCCTCGGGTGCTCAATCGCCATGCCTGACCCAGGCGCTGCGCTCTCGGGGAAGCTGCTGTTCAGGGGATCCCCCATCACCCTCTGGTGCCGGCGGAAACAGGCGTCCTCACCCCTGTGGGGCCCAACCCCTCCTCTGCTGGGCCCCAGCAAGAGCCTAGCGGGATGGGTGAGCCAGGGGAGCTGGAACGTGGATGGGCCTCCTGCTCCCACCCTGGAGGTGGCCCTCACATCTGGGTGACCTACGGCCCCAGAGCCAGCTCAGAGTGCCTCAAACCTGCCTCCCCTGTCCCAGGACCCCTGCCTCAGCTCAGCCCCAGACTATGGGGTCAGCTTCATCCATCCGGCAAGGTGTTCTCAGGACCCAACTGTGTGGCAGGCCCTACACCAGGCACCAGGGCACTGTGGAGAGCCACAGCAGACCTACTTCTGGCCCCAGGGAACAGCCAGTGCATGGGGACACGGGTGTGGCTCAAAGCCATGCAGTGAATGTAGAGTGGCCATGAGGACAGGGCACCACGAGGTGCCATGTGAGGCCCATGAGAGCAAGGGGAGGGGGTAGGGAAGGCGGCTGGTCTGGGGGATGGGGAGAACTGCCAAGATGCAGTGATGCAGGCCTGAGACCTACAGGAGAGGAGGGCTCCCTGCCCCAACTCAAACCCCTCCGCAGCCCTGGCTCGGCTTGGCCCACGCCAGCCTCCTGCCACACACCTCCTCAGCCCGTGCCACCCTCCAGGAATGCCCCTCTGCTCTCCACGTGGGAAACACCCACCAAACTCTCCAGTCAGCTCAAAACGCCCCCTCCCCCTTCCCTCTCCCCACACCCCGGAAGCCTCTACCAGGGATCCTCTGCCAGAGCCATGCTCATACCGCAACGAGGTCATCTGTTTACACATCCAGTTCCCTCACTGGACTGCCACTTCCCTGAGGCAGAGGGCAGCCCTGCCTCAGGGTCCCTGACAGGGCTAACATGGGGCCGGGCAGCAGAGTGGTGAGAGGTTCCGAAGCCCCAGGCCTGCACTGATCCTGGATGGGCCCCTCCCTGGCTGTGTGACCTGGGGCAGGTAACCTCCCAGTCTGGCCGCCCCAGTTGTGAGCACGGTTTACAAGAGGGACCCCTCCCAGGGTTATTCTGGGTTTCAGAAAGACAACACAGGGAGAGAGCTTTGCCCAGAGCACCCCTGAGGGCAGCTGTTAGTATCAATGCATGTGTGCTGAATAAATGAATGCAGACAGGGCACGGCCAGTACTTCCTGTCAGCTAAGCAAGAAAACCAAGCCTCAGACTTGAGGGAGAAATCCTCACCTCAGCCAGACAAATCCTAGCTACAGCTGGGCCGAGAAGCTGTCCATTGCCTCAGCAAACACTTGCTGAATATCTGTGTGCCAGTCCCTGTGTGGGCAGCCTGCCAGTGACCCAACCAAAGCAAGATGAGGAAAAGAAATGGTGTGCAGAGAGAAGAGGCATGGAGGCCTCCTGCAATCAGGAAGGGACCCTCTGAGCAGATGTTATTCACAGGAGGAAGAGCAATCCAGGCAGGAGTAACAGGTGCAAAGACCCTGGGGTGGCAGGGACTGAATGTGAAGATGTGAAAACAAGGCCACTGTGGCTGGAGCTCACAGCGGGGAGGGGTGAAGAGGGTGGAGATGAGGTCACAGAGCTGGGCAGGGACCTTGGAGGCTGAGGGGGGGGGAGGTGGGTTTCATTGGGGTTACAACAGGAAGCCCCCCCCACTGTTTTATAAGCTAGATAGTGGTATTATCTGATTGACATCTTTAAAAGCTCCCTCTGGTTCTGGGTGAATTACAGACTGCCAGTGGGGCAGGATGGAGGCAAGACCAGGGAGGAGGCTGGAGCAGGTGTTCAGGCAGGAGGTGGCAGTGCCGGGACCAGGTGGGGAGCTGTGGACAGATTCAGAATTCGTTTTGGAGGCAGAGCCAACAGAACCCTCTTAGGAACTGGGAGTGGGCAATGAGGTCGCAGCGAGGAGTCAAGGACAACACCCAGGCTTGGGGACCCACGTGCTAGGAACCCACTTACCACTTTCCCATATCCTTCCTGACAAGAAGTCTTTTACCTATTCCCCACCACATCCCAAGGACTATGGCTTGTGGGCTGGGACCCTGAGTCCAGGAACAATGGGGTTTGACTTGCCCTGACAAAAGCTTCCATCACCTCTGTCAGCCCTGGGGATGCCAAAGAGTGGAGGGAATGAAGGGGGCTTCAGCCCAACTGTGAGGCTGTGTCCCACTTCACAGGTGGAGAGCCCAAACCCCAAAGAACCACCAGACCCAAATCCCAGGATGAGTGAGCGGCCCAAGGGGGATTTTAACCTCCCAAAAAGTTGGCATTATCCCCACTTCAAGATGAGGAGACAGCTGGGAGGGAATGTCACCATCCCCGAGTCACCCAGCTCATCTGTTGAGCATTCACTGTCCCAAGCCCTTTAAGACGTCAGTTCCCCAAATTATCACAACCCTATGAAGTCTGGACTATTGCTACCCTCATTTAACAGGGATAGGGCCTGATAACTAGAGAGATGAAGTCGCCCCCTCTTAGAGCTGGTTGGGACCGGAATGTTGGAGGTGGGGTCAGGGCTCTGGGGGAACCAAGGCAGTTCGCGATGTCGCACTTCCTTTGGCGATAAAGCCCCGCATGTCACGATGTCAAGCCCCCTCCCCGCCCCGACGCTCAGGTCGGCCTCCCAAACCTTCCCGATCAGGAAAGGCCCAGGCCTGGCGCCCGGAGGACGAGGCCTCAGTTGGGGGTCTCGGGGGACCCCATCCCCACACCCCCAGGCGATTTCCGGGAGAGCCGCGACCCGGAAATGAATGAGTTGTCAGGGCCTGGAAACCTAGATAGGGTCAGGGGTCGGAGATGGAGCCAGGACGGGGTCAGCAAGAAGCTTACAGCAGGGTCCGGGGGGGTCGAAGGTGACAGGTCAGAGAGAGGGGCGGGGCCGGGCCCCAGGGGGCCGGCCAGGGCGGTGAGGGGCCTCGGGGGTTACTGGAGGTGGGTGGGCCCGCGGCGCCATTTTGTCGAGCGGAGGGGGAGTACGGCCCTGGCGGCCACCCTCACCATCTTCTGTTTCCTCCGTCGCCGCCTCAGCCACCGCCTCAGCCGCCGCCACCGCCACCACAGCCGCCTCCTTAGCAGCCGCCGCACAGTAACTTCTAGCCACGGCACAGCCCACACTGCTGGTGCGGCCGCCCTTCAGTCGTTGGTCCGCCCTCTGGCCCTGCCTCCAAGTTATGCGGTCTTTGCGCACTCCCATTGGCCAGATCCGGCACAGTCACGCGGCCATTGGTCGCCACGCCGCCTCCCTTCGTTGTCAAGTTCAGTTGAGAGAGCAAAACCCCGCCCGGGACTTGCAAGCGAAGAGCAGCGAAATCCGGAAGTGGGCGGAGGCCGCGCTCCCAAAGCCCCTTGGGATTTGTAGTCTGCAACACCCGGAGGTCCCACCGGTCTCTCTAGCATTTGCTACGCTTTTTCATATGGTGGTTCATGAGGTTCTTACAGCAGCCCCCGGAAGGATAGGGACCCACCGTTACACTCCCAGCCTCCTCCCTGGGGTCCCAACCTTAGGTTTTGGCATATCTAAACTGCTCCCACACTAGCCGCTTGATATCTTTAAGCTGACAGAGCATCTTTGAAACACTTCCCTTGGCTCCCCAGTATCCCAAGGATACAGTCCCGCCTCCTCGGTCCCAAATTCTGGGCCCCTCCGGCCTCCTTTGTCCACCTTTTATCCTGACCCGTCCAATCCCTCCTCCCTTTGGGCTCTCCCAGACCCTGCCACCTTCTCTAAGAAGCCTTCCTCGACTGCGTTCTTCCCAAGGCAAAGTCCAGTGCCTCCTCTGGGCTCCACAGTCTTCACAATCATCCTCCCAGCCCTGAGTCCACTGTGTCCAAACTGCCTGGATACGAATCAGGCCACTGCCCCCCCACCACGACCACCATCAGCCTGACAGCCTGGAGAGAACAAGAACTTATTAAGGAAGTACTCAATAAGTTACTAAGTGGAAGCTAGTAAGTATTATTACACCAACGTCACAGCAAAGGAGAAATAAGCATCTCATTTTAAGGATGGATCCTCTTTATTTTTTTGGCCGCGCAGCATGCAGGATCCTAATTCCCCAACCAGGGATGGAACCCGCGCCCCCTGCAGTGGAAACCTGGAGTCATAACCACTGTACTGCCAGGGACGTCCCATTTTATTGGAACCAAATGAACCTCAGAGGGCTAAGATCTTGCTCAAGGTCACAGAGCCCATCCCCAAGGGGCAGGTGGAGGATTCAAACCCCTCCCACCTCTCCACAAGCCTTCCTAGAACCGTGAGAATTGACATTTTATAAGACAAGTGAAAATTTGAACATTTATTAGATTTTTAATGACATGAATGAATTGTTGACCTTTTTTTTTAGCTTTGAAAAGCTTTCTGAATATGTATTAAAGGGCCATTATCTTAGAGAAGTGAGTTCTGAAATATTTACAGAAGAAATAACCTGCTGCCCGAGATTTGCACCTCAGGAGAGGGCAGGATAGGTTGTGGGTAGAGCTGTGTACTGGGTTACAAGGGCGTTCACTGTACCATTCTGTGGACTGAGGCACATGTTCGAAATTCTTCCTAATTCAAAAGCGTAAAAAGGCATTTGGCAAGGTCTGACTTCCCACTCCCTCTTCCAGTCCAATCCCACAATTCTTCCCCTGGGCCAACCCCGAAATCTGAGAATTCATGTCCGTCCGAGTCCCAGTCGTCAGCGAGGAAAAATGCTTTAATGGGGGGGGGGGTCCAGCCGGCAGCGTCGCGCTGCTCAGTGGCTCAACGATTTTCGACCCTTGTGCATGCGGCGAAGAATGACCTGGACGCCGCTTGGCTTGCTCAAGCGCCGGATCCAACCATGCTTGTTCTTGCGCTTGATGTTGCTCGGCTGATACTCGTTCCCGCGCGCCTTGCCCCGGGTCTGCTGCACGGCGGGGAGTCCCCAGGCGTCGGGGAGCCCCAGCCAGGCCCGGGGCTGGAGCCACCTGCCGGGGAAGGTTAGAGGGGGCGCTGTGTGACTTGCGCGTGGCGCCCAACCTCTCCGAGCTTGGGCTTCCCGATCAATGCCAGAGGGAGCCTGGCAGCATAAAGGCGCTCGAGGAGTTCTCAAGGCATTGGAAGGTCATGTGGTTGGTAAACAGCTGGGGCCAGTCCCCGACGCCGCCCTTACTCCCAGATTTGGGAAGGGGTCCCCCTGAGGACTCACCTGCCACCCAAAAGCGCCGCTGACCTACTGACTGGCCCCAACAGGGGCCCCACCGATCTGGTCGAGAAAGCCATGTCCGCCGCCGGCACGCCGTCCGGTGGCAGTTATTTCAAAGCCCATAGGTTCCGCAGCTGCGGGGACGAGGACTTCTGGGAAATGTAGTTTCTTCTAGGCGGAGCCCTCATTGCCGCGGGAGTTGTAGTTCTACGTAGGCGCACCGCATCTTAGGCGTGAGCGTCAGGGCCCACAGGAGAGTGTAGTTCTTCTTGTGGACCAGCAGGTGACAGGCGAACGGCGCCTCCTCCGCATGCGCGTGCGTACAAGACATTATGTCCCTGGGTCTGCTGGGAGTTGTAGTTCCTTCTCCTGTAGATCTACAGAGGGTACCGTGGGGTGACGGTGGCGCAGCTGGTGGCAGCCTCAGGAAACGGCTGGTTGAATTTCCCACCCCCAGCGGGAGCCAGGCAGACGGCACACGGCTGGCAGCTTTCCCTTAGCCCCAGCCAAGTCTCCGCCCCTTGGCGGGGAGCCCAGAAGTCTGAGTTGGTGTTGGCTGGATGTCCTTGGGGTGGTCATTCAGTTTCTCAATCTGCAGAACTCAACGGTTGCAGGCTTGCCCTTGGCGGTGCCCCCGTTCAGGCCCTATTTTTCTAATACTCATATCTGAGCCCTTTCCCTTCTTACACACCCTCTACGGCTCCCCATTGCCCCAGGGAAAATATCTGGCAGGCATTTGAAGCCCGCTCTCCCCATACACACACACCCTAAATTTCAGCTACAACCTCCTCTGCCTGGTGCTCCCCTAGTCAACTTTTTAAAATCCTCCTCAGTACTCTCCTTTCCCCCAATCCTATCCCTCCCTCTGGCCCAACACTGCCCCCACACAGCTTTCCCCAGACTCTCCCTGAAGCCCAGGGCGCCCTCAAGGGCCAGGCTTGCAGCTGAGTCCCTGCAGGCACCCCAGTATCTCCCAGCCTGGGGAGGGGGAGGGGAGTTTTTTCTGCATTAATAAACTGTAGTCTCCCAGGAGCACCTGAGTGGGCAAGAGTGGGTGGCTGGACCTAACCCAGCTCTGGCAGCAAATTCCAGGGGATAGGAGTGGGGAAGGGATGATTAACCTCTTGTCCTCTGAAGCCCATCTTACCTGCACCATCATTTAGCAAACCACTACAATACTACAGCAGTACAATAATAATGCCAATAATGTATGGAGCACTTTCCCTGCTGAGCAAACTCATGAGGGAATTAATTCCATAGAGAAATAAATGGAGTCTCAGGGAAAGGACTTGCCCAAGGTCACATATCAGCAAAGGGTAGAGGCTGGATTTGAACTGTGGGCTTTCTGGCTCCGGCTGGGACCAGGGTCACCAGTTAAATTGGCCTATTTGTGAAACTCCAATTCCTTAATTACCCATAGCTCCAAGATATCTGTTTAATGGTTTAACGAATAACAATTTGCAGAACTTGGAATCACACAGCCGTGGTTCCAAGTCCCATCTCTGCCCCCCCAGCTTGCCTTGTGACCTTGTGCCATTTATGAGCCTCAGTTTCCCCACCTGAAATTGCAAAGATCTGGGAGACTGTAGAACGGAAAGGTCAGCACAGAGGGAGGGGCATGGGGGCTCCGTTTGGAGGGGACAGGGCAGTTCGGAGGCAGAGGCTAGCCGAGGAGATCCTCTTTGCAGCGAGGAGGGGCCCGGAAGACCTCAGGATGCGACCCCTTCTTGGCGGTTAACCAGGCCCAATCCCTCCCTCCACCTCCGTAAACCTTGAGGGAGGCGGGGTCGTTGCCCCAAGAGCCCGCCCTTATCCCGGAGTTGCCGCCTCTGATTGGCAGTCTAACTAGGCCAGGTCATTATGCAGCTTCTATTGGCCAAGGCTCCAGTCAGTCGGTGCACGGTCCCGCCCCCCCGGGGGAGACACTTAAAGGGCCGTCTCGCTAGGCGGTAGCGGGATATCCCCGCACTGACCGCCTTGGGCCCGCGCCCGCCCGCGTAAACGCGCCCGGCCCGACCCCGCGCCACCATGTAAACGGCGCCCGCAGGCGGACGCCGGCTTCTCCGCCCGGGACCCCTTTGCCCTGCCCCGGGCCCCAGGGCCCTCGATGAGGTGAGCAGGGACTGGGCCGTGGGAAGGGGACACTGAGGCCCCTGGGTCTTTCACTTTGGATGGGGGGTGTCCACAAAGCCCTTAGGAAGCCGCGGAGCCCCAGTGGCCTCGACCCCCCCGCAGGGTTGACGGGCACCCAGGAGGCGGGGGCCTGGCTCTGTGGAGGGGGTCTGGCGTGGCGCATCTGCGCCCCCTTTGGCAATCCCGGGTTGGAACCCCGCCGGAGGTGGGGGGCGCGGCCTGCTCCCCCTTCCTCAGCAAGTACGGGCCACTGCAGGACGGGTGTTCGGCGTTCATTATCCCCGCGGAGCCCAGGATGGGGACGGGGAGGGGTTGGTCCCATCACCAGGGCCTAAACAATGGGGGTGCGCTGCGCGGGTATCCCCCTCGAGTTATGTAACTGCCTGCAGTTGCCATGGACACGGAGTGAGGGCCGTGGCCCACGGAGCGGGATGGAGGCCTGGAGGCCCTCAGCCAGGGCTTTACCTTCTCCATCCTCATCTCCACCACTGGGGGCTGTGTGCCAGATTCCCCAGAACCCAAGGTACTGAGCAGTGGGGACAGAGCACCTTCTTCCCAGAGTGTCTGAGCCTCAGCTTGTAGGTCTGTGAAACAGACCCATTGCACTCATGGTCTTGGGGAGTTGGGCAAGGGCTTCTGGAGCTCAGCCCTGAAACCCCTCTCCCAGGGTCTCACCTTTCAGAAGCCAGGTTTAGAGGCCTGGGATGGGGGCTCTTTGGGACCTGCACATTTTTAGATGCCTTTGGAGCCCTCAGGGTATGCTGGTTTAGTGAAAGTGAATTAAGGAAACAGTGCATGAATGA